GTGGCAACAAAAAAAAGCACGAGTGTTGTGAGGAGTAAAATGAAGAGGAGCTGTATTTAAAACTATTAGTGAATGGTCAAAGAACAAAATTAAAATTATCATAATTAAATAAAGCATTAAAAAACTATTGCTTACAGCTCTGTGAGGCAGCACAGTGGACCTTTAAGATAAATGCTAACATCAAATGTTAACATGGTAATAAGTGTAACATGCTGATGTTTAACATGTTCACCATCTTAGTTTACCGTGTAAGCATGCTAAGATTTTATATGATCAAGAGCAGTGCCAATTCAGCTCTTCAGATTACATTTCAACAACCCGTCCTAGTGTTTACTTATGTCTCATTTCTTTAAAGAAAATCACAAAGCACTGTAGCACTGACCATGCTTCATGTTATTAGTTTGAAGACTTCTGATTGTGGCTGATATCTAACTCTTGCTCCTACGTGGTGTGAATGCAGTTATCCCGAGTTGCTTTGGACAAAAGCATCTGCCAAATGAAAGTCAATATCCAATCGACCTTTTCTGATAACATCTCAACAACCCTTGAAAGCACTTGCTCTCATTTCTTTATAAAAAGAAATCTTGGATCAAAGTGGTGGACTGACTCTTATTGATTATTGGAGCCACATTGTTAGGCTAAAAAAAAGTATTGTATAGACTTAGGTTCCTATTTCTACATCTGATTTCTAGCTACTTCTTAACAAATACATGTTACACTGGAGATTTTGGCTTCTCCGATTCCAGCAGCACACCTGCAGCACATGCAAATCTGCCAGTACATGTCTGTACGCTGAGTCTTCAAACTGAGATGGAGTTTAACCTCTGCCAACAGTAACACAAGGGCTAGACGTTCAGACTGCATGACGGGCTGACATCACTGCTGGCTCTGGCTGCTGTTTGCACTGCAGCCCGAAGCTGCCCAGACCAAGACGACAGAGGCATTACGAATAGTGTAAAAATCAAGAATTAACACTCAACAGAAGGGAGAACACTGTACAAAAATACTGTATTCAAACTGCACAGACGGTCAGATATTATAAAAAAGCAGGAATCTTACACATAGTTTTTTACAAATCGTAAATGCTGCATTTTCTAAGTTGTAAAATGGACAAAAAATATCTACTTTAATACTAATCAATACACATACTCTGTGGGAAATCCAAATGTATAACACAACTGTTACTTTAAAGGTTATACAGAGTCACAGTGGTGGCTGAAGAAGTGAACATACCCTTAATATTTTTATATGTATCTTATTTTTTAAGTGTAACCCGCCTGTGTTATAAACAGTGACAAATAAGACTACTCTTGGGTATTCAGTTCACCCAAAAATACACACTGTCACTTAACGCCTGCTGCCTCACTTCAGGAAGTAAGGATCATTGTGAAATATAAGATGACAGTGCAGATTTCACAGTCAATACTGGGCCAGATATCGGGGTGAGAAAACTACATAATATGCATTTTGAGTGAAATATTTTCTTTATTTCTTACTCCACTCAATCCTGAAAATTGGACATCTATCTGTCATGTCCTTGCACACTACTGAAAGATGCGCATCAGAGGGGATTTCTAAGTGGGAGCACTCTGTATACCTGCATAGACCCCTGCACTACACCACTGCAGAGTCGCCTCAGCAATCCAAACTAGGGAACTCTAACCAAGAGGAAAGAAGCAGAAGTGAGCCTGTCCAACTCAAATGACCAAAGATTAGGAGTGTACAGGATGTTTAAAGACAGCGTACTCATGGCAACACTTCCCCCTGGTGGATAGTCTATCTATAAAGTAAAATATATAAATGTCTTATTTTTTCACATAAGGTCCAAATTCTGGATTCTGCTTAAAAAGAAATCTAGTCAACACTGAAGCAAAAACTGTGTGGTTGAAACTAAATGTGAAGTAATTCAAAAGACTACAATTAGCAGACACTCGTCAATTATTATGAGACTTCATTATGGCCCAAACAATACCTCAACCTTGTGCATTTTGTTTTATTTCATGTCTTACACGTATACTTGAAAACTTTTCCTGTTTCTCCTGAACTGCCAACTGACAGCCCACTTAACTGAAACACTTATATACATGTTTATTTAAGATTTGTGTTGTTTTTTCACTTCTAGGTCTAAACATGTGCAAATAATCCTTAATAAGTCATTATGGCCTGGGACAGCAGTGTACGTTTTCCTGTTAAAACAATATATACCAAAAGAGATACTGTACTGTTTAAGAGTCTGATGGCCTGGGGGTAGAAACTGTTAAGAGTCTTTTTGTCCTTGCTTTCACATTCCTGTAGTGCCACCCTGACGGCAGGAGTGTGAAGAGGCTGTGTTGTGGGTAGGAATTGTCCTTTATGATGTTGTGGGCCCACCTGATGACCCTGGTTGAGTAGATATCCTGTAGTGATGGGAAGGCTGCTCCGGAGACGCTGGAGAGCCTTCCTGTCCTGAGCAGTGTGGCTACCATACCAAACTGTAACTGGTGATGATGCTCTCGACTGTACATCTATAGAAGTTACCGAGGATCTTGGCTGACATGCCGAATATCCTCAGCCTTCTTAAGAACTAAAGTCTCTGCTGGGCTTTCTTCAGGAGCTGCTGGGTGTGGTGAGACCAGGTGAGGTCCTTAGCAGATGTGGGTTCCGAGGAATTTAAAGGTTTTCACCCTTTCTACCTCTGTCTCACCGATGTACAGTGGGCTGTGCTGTTCCCTCCTCCCCCTCCTAGGATTAATAATCATCTCCTTTGTCTTGGTTGTGTTCAAGGAGAGACTATCTTTCCTGACACCAGGCCACCAGTCCTGCCACCTCTCTTCTGTACGCTGCCTCCTCCCCACCACTGATCAGTCCAATGGCCGCGGTGTCGTCTGCAAACTTTATAATGCATGTGTTGGTCTGGGGGGACACACAGTCGTAGGTAAAGAGCGTGTAAAGCAACGGACTTAGCACGCAGCCACGGGGGGTCCCTGTGCTCACAGCTCTGATGCCTAATGTCCAGTTTCCAACTCTGACTGACTGGGGTCTGTCTGTTAGGAAGTTCAGCACCCAGTTACAGAGGGAGTGTGTCGGTCCAAGGGTGAGGAGCTTTTGAGAATCCCACTGGACCTTAAAGTTAATAATATGGGCCTCAAAGGCTTAAACATTTCAATATATGATATCGGTGTTCGTCTAATCTTGACGCAAGACATACCAAAAAGGACTTAAAATAACAGGCGATGAATACATTATTTAAAAAAGCAAATAAACTGAGCAGCAGGTGCTTTCAGTGACCGACTGTAAGGACTCACTCTTTCTCTCCTGCTCTCAGCTGAAACCAAAAATGAAAGCAAACACAGGTTGTGTCAAAAACTTTATGCCCTCTCCATTAATGTGTGAGATTAATCAGCCCTCTGTTGTTATTTCAGGCTGAATGTCCTTAACAGCAACCAACACTCCTCCTCCCCCCCAAATCCCCTACCTCTTCGTCAGATAACGGCCCGCCTTTTCACTTGACCAAATATAAACTTTCTTGGCGCAGCGACAGGCTGAAATGGGGAGGAGTCTGACACACTGAGTTCAGTTCAGGACAGACTGAAGGACAAACAAGCAGGAGGGAGGAAGAAATTTCAACGTTTTTTTTTTGCCACAAAAATATCAAAATATTAAAGCATACTGCATATTGCCTGCCTGAAGAACAGTGAGTTTTTACCTGATTTTCTTGTATTTTAGTTAAAGCAGTTTATTACCACTCTTGATATGCAGCAACACTAGTAGGCCCAGCCTCAACTGCCTGCTGCTTTATGATATTGTTTGTTTGTAGACGGTTATAGGACAGATTTCTTCTGAAAATAACTTTATTTATGAGGAATATGTCAAATTTAAAAGGGCTGTGCAGAAGTTCTCTTTAGTTGTCTTTAGTCATTATTTCAACAGTGGTCTGTTGTGTGTTTTGGCTGAGTTTAAAGTTTATAAAGGCTTACTGACACTAAAATAAATAGAATAAACTTGGGTCACGCTAGTTTCTTCATCTTTTTTTCCAGCTGCATTAAAATAAGGATTAAAAAATATAATAAACTGCAAATGTTTGTCAATGTTTTTCCTTTCACCTCTACAGATGTCTCTGTCTCCGGCTGCCTTGGCTGCTCGTCGAGTGTTTGCTGCTGCGTCACACTCGAGCCACGAGGGAGGAGGTCAGTGTGTCTTTACTGAAACTCTCAACCAAACACAACCAAAAAGCATCAAAAAGCCTCCAGATTCAGAGCTCCTGCATGCAACTGCACCCGAGTCACGTACAGTCGGAGCATTTTTAGTTGAACATTAACTGATATGTCTGCAGAGTTGGCTGCCGTCGTGCATTCATGCTCTTTGGCAAATCATCAGGAATTATGTTTTATTACTGATATGGACTCTGTATAGACAGCTGCTGTAACTAATTTTTCCCACTCTCCGCATGCGCTACTTAGTGCTTCGGTCATGTACTTTCACTGGTTGTGTTTCCCCACAGCGAGGACCTGGAAGATACTGACCATTGTGTTGGCCTTCCCTGGTGTGGCTGTCTGCATGGCCAACGCCTACATGAAGATGCAGGCGCACTCACATGAGCAGCCAGAATTTGTGCCATATCCTCACCTGCGTATCCGCACCAAGGTGACTCTCAAACGCCTGCACCCATGTACTCTTTTAGCAGGATTTACAAAACACCACTTCCTCCACCACTGAATAAATGGTCTGCAATGAATAGAACAGTTTTTTTCTCCCTCCACTTAACTTGTGTGTCAATGTCTCCTTCCAGAGATTTCCCTGGGGCGATGGAAACCACAGTCTGTTCCACAACACTCACACAAACGCTCTGCCCGACGGCTACGAGAGCTCCCATCACTGAGAGGATCGGTCACATTTCTCTGCTGTGCTTCCAATCAGCAGCGTACTTGGCTTAATTATACTGACCGAGGGGCCACGCCGCACCGCCATCGAGCGATGCACCCACACAGGAATAAAACCACTTTGTGCTGTATAACAATGAGTGCCATGTATTTTGTTTAATTCAGAGTAGTGCTCAATTTAATCAACCTCTCAAGACTTATAGAAAAAAAAATGTTCTACTTTAAGTGTCACAGCAGAATGGGCTGCTCTCTCTTATGGTGTCTATACACTACCACTAGGGGTAGCCAAAGACAGACTGGTTTAAATCTGGCACATATGAGCCTTTAAAGATTGAAAGCAGGCTGGTAATATATTCTGTATTTTTCTTGCTGCCAAACAATTCCATGAAAAGACCAAAACCAACAGTGAATTGATCTACTACCAAATACTGTCTGTTTCCATGAACATACACACTGTTTGTTTTATCCATCCTGCTGACCCACACACTCACTAGAGCACCAAACGTGTATGAATCCACTGCTGAAAATAATCCCCAACAAATGCACTATTTATTCATGTTTGAATAATGTTTGCTAAAAACTACAGTGCCCAGCTGTAATATCTGGCCTTTTGGTTTAAATCTAATTATATATTCATGATATTCATTCTAGTAGGAATCAATGAGCTTGAGGCGGAGAGCCACAAACAAGATTGTGAAGTTGGAAAGTATTGAGATGGACCAAAACATTGTTGGTTATGGTCTTTCATAAGAACAATGTAGAACATTGCCAGCTTACTGTGGCCGTTTTCTATATCCACACTCCCAACAAGAGAAAAACAAAAGCAAAAGTGATATTCCAACAATATATTCAGTGGCATAAATTAATATGGGACAGTTGGAATCTATACACTGTATATCTGCTAATCAATATTATCTCTATGTACAAATAAACAACTGGCTCCTAAACCAACCCTGATCATTCCAGTACTTCCAGCTAAATGACATTCATCAGATGCATTGCAGACATTTGCTTATTTGTTTCCCCAAATTAAAAAACAAAAAAAAACAAAAGAGGGAGAAGAAAAAAAAAAAAATCCACAATACAAATGTCATTAGAAATTAATCCAACAACGGTAAATTATGATACAATTATGTCATGCTGGGACGGGCTACAGTTTATATCAGATTACATCAAAACTAAATAGAAATTTTATGCTTCCAGTTTACGAAAATAAATCAACAGTCAGTTCTGTTAGTGCTGAAGAAATTCATACAGCATGTTTTTTTTTTTAGATAATAGTGTGGTTGTTGTAACCTGAACTTAAATTAATACAATGGAAACTTTTTCTAGAAGCTTATAACAAGCCCCTAAGTTGACTCTCACTTAAGCTGTGCTTTTTATATTCATGCCAGCGTCACTCAATAGTTCCCCTCCTTGCTCAGCTCAGAGCTTCTGTGGCCAGACTTAGTAGATCCTGTTTCAGAGTCTCTGTACAGTCGGCCTCTCTGGCAAGTCGGCGAAGGCAATCCCCGACGAGGGAGGAGGACAAGAAGGGCCGACGGCAGTCGTGACAGCCCAGCAGCAAAGACAGGCAGGTCCGACCCAGTGCTGGGTAGCTGTACCGCTGGGAAAACCAGTATACCTGGGGGAGGAGAGCAGCCAGGGTCCTACCACCTGACTTGGCTTCTGAGGAAGAAACGGAGTCCTGAGCTGCTGATTTCAGAAGCTGTGCTGAACTTTTCATCAAGTTCTTTGGTCTGAGCTTCAACTCTTCAGGATCCAATGATTTGTCCCCCACTGACGCACAGCTTGATTTGGAAACTGGAGTGACACTTTTGACCCTGCTGGCCTTCGGACCTGTTCCAGCAGAGGAGGTTTTCATACAGTCTGTCTGGTGTGGGGAACTGTTCGGTTTCCTCGTCTGTCCTGGTAAATGTTCTGTTTGTGCTTCACAACCAGTCAATTCTAGCTCAGATGTTCGATTGGCCAGGTTGTCCTCTGCGAACTCGAGGCCTTCTTGGTCCATCTTAGATGCAGCCTTGTCGGCGTTGTCCTCTGTTGGAGCTGATGCAGCTCGACTAGAAGCCTTCGTGGAGCAGGACAGGAGAAGAGACACACAGAGATCTTCCAACTCTCTCTGCAGCTCAGTCACCAAAAACCTGCACGCTCCAATCATCACCTCGCCTAAAGCGGTTTTCTGAAAAGCCGCGTTTCCCTCCAAGTGATGCTTTGTCTGCGTTTGGCAGATGCCCAGTCCTTCAAGGACCAATGTGTCCAAAATCTGACACTGTCCTCTCCTACTTCCATCATCACTTTCTCTTGTCTTTTCTGTATCCTTGGTGAGGCGACATCCATGCAGGTAGTGAAGAACTGGTAGCAGCATACCCGTGCTGACGTCTTTAATGCGGATGGCTTCTCCTGCATTACCCTGAGCTTCTCCAAATCCGCCTTTCAACAGAGCCCAAAAGTATTCAGAGCTGGCCCCATTCGTCCCCTCCACCCCGGCCACAGCCTCCCTGTTGGCTGGAATCTGAGTCCCGTCGTCCAGCAGCAAGAGGAGGTCAAAGTTCGAAACTCCGTAAGGACAGATGTCGGTCAGGCGGGGCTTCTTCGAAGGAGGGGGTAACATGCTGTCAAGTTTTCTGACTGACTGTGTTGTAATTGGGCTGAGATGTTTTTTGTCAAGCTCCATTTTGAGGCCACCCATCAGGGTGGACAGGCATCCAGTCAGGAGGGAGAAGTACAGCGAGTGGAGCTGAGAGGTCAGGCCTACATGCGGTGAATTAAACCAGTCAGAAAGCAACTTTCCACATTCAGTGGGGTTGTCTTCATCCACGTCATCGTCATCGCAACCAAGGGGCTGCAGAGCCAGGAGTAGTCCACTGTTGTCCAGAAGAAGCTTCTTCAACAGAGACTTGTTGCTGTTGGAGAAAGCATCAACAAATACAGTTTTTTAGATCACCTCCACTAAAAGAGAAGACAGAAAAGAGCCTTTTATGGCATTAATGTCATTAAATATTCAGATTATCTTGATTACTGAGCTCATATTCGTATAGATGCACTACTCACCTGCAGATCAATGGCAGAGACAGCGCACAGTTCATCTTGTCAGACTCAGACCCTGACAGCATCACATGGGCAAGAACCCCGGAGCCAAATCCAGACTCACACTGGACTCGCAGATTATTGAGAAGAGCTAGGCCTATAGGGGCAGTGCAAAGTTATAAACTGCTCTTGAATGAAATAAAAAAAATTACCCAATATTGTGTTTAATTATATAAAAGTTAGTTCTCAAGGATTGTTCATGTTAGAGGAAGGGATAAGTATTGAGCATCAGCCAGATGTGACCCTGATTAATTAAATATTTAAGCTTTGTATGTGAATTTCTTCATGAAATTGACATACAAAGCTTAAATATTTAATAAATTAACTTTTACTATCTATTACTCTCTACTACTAAGAACACAAGATTAATAAAATATAAATTATATCTAACATTTATCAGTGAACTTTTGCTACCACAGCTATTTTAAAACAGCTAGGAGATATATGGGTCGGATAATGGCACTTAGTCATTCTAAAGTTACTGTGTTATTATTGTTATTGTGTGATTGTGAGATCTTTATCTTACCAAGTTGTTTAACTTTGGCTTTCACTCGGTCCGTCTGCCTCTCCTCTGCCTCATATTCTCCCCGACTCTGGCACAGATGGTGACGAATCAGCGCGACTGAGCCGGTTCGGACCAGTGCCTGCAAACAGTTTGGGTTGCAGCTGAGTCGGCACAGCATACGGAGGCACCTGCTGCTGGGGTCCTGGTGCTGGGTGAGGTAGTAGAGCAAGCCGGACATGATGCCTGAGCTGACCAGAGCAGTGCTTGGGTCGGTGGCATGGGAGAAGCGCGACAGCAGCAGCAGGATGGGCGACTCGGGCGTCCAAGGTTCAGGGTGGTACGGGTGGTGGTAAGCCATCGGGCGGGGCAAAGAGGGAGGGGTTTCAAGAGTGACCTTAGTCAAACAAGCTGCTGAATGAACACGCTGCCTCCTTCTGTGAGGGGATGAGAACTTTGATGGAGAGACTGGTGTTTGGGTTGTTTTAGTGGGAGAGGAGATAGTGGGCTGGGTTTGGGGTGTGAGTAGACTGGGAGGTTGAGGACTAGAGGGAGGCGGATCGGTGATTTTCAGTGAGGGTGACTGGGCCGAAGAGGACACAGCGGGAGGCTGAGCTGCTTTTTTAGAAGTGGAAGAGGCCGTCGAGTTGGAGGAAGAAGAGTTTTTAAGAGAGGACAGGGAATCCGGATTTGGGGAGGAGGTCTGAGGGGATGAAGACGGTGGCATCTGAAGACTACCCCATTCCCCTTCAACACCAGAGGAATCCAGCAGGTCCCCCTCTGACGAGATCAAACCCTCAGACACCAACCAGGACCTGAACACAGAACAATAAACATGTATAATTATAAATAATAATAATAATAATAATAATAATAAAATGATTTACAGGGGAAATAGATAAACCTGCATTTTCCATACCTGAGACTTAAAAAGCTCGATGAACATAGACCTTGCTCCCTACCAGCTTCCTCCTTCTTGCAGCCCTCGGGAGCAGGAAAGTCAAAGGAGTCAAAACATGAGGAGGGCAGGAGCTCAGTGGGAGACATGCTGGAGGAGAGGCTCACGTCCATCTTCTCCGCAGATTGTTCCTCTCCTCTGGCGAGCTCGACCAGTCGCGCAACAAGCAGAGGGACCAGCCCGAGCTCTTGCAATTGCTCCATAGCAGCTTCATCGAAAACAAAGTCTACGCAGGCCAGGATGGCTAGTCTGGAAAGGGGATGGCTGTGATGTGTAGCCAAAAAGCCAATTAGCACCTCCAATCCGCCACTCTCCTTCACCTTGGCCCGGTTGACCGCCTCCTTGCAGCACAGGCACAGAGCCTTGAGGAAGACTCCAGACTTTAGTGGGTCCCTCTTGATCTCCTCTGTGAACTTCGGAATGACCCCCAGTGACCCCACGAGAGGGCGCAGGCAGCCTTGGGAGCACACGTTGGCCAGGGTTTTCAGTGCCAGCTCCTCGAAAGGTTTACCACTCTCCCCCGACGCCATGACGCCGAGCTGAGCGAGGACTCCAGAACGGGACACCTCCCTGGCGCATTCGACGCCACAACCACGGGTCAGCTCGTGGAGGGTCCTGAGCGCGGCACGCCTCAGCCCCTGGGGATATTCTGGAGCGATGAGAGGGGCAAGGGCAGATAAGGTCCCTTGGGTGAGCAGTGACAGGCGGTTAGAGGGCGTATCCGAGAGGTAGAGGAGAGCACGTGCAGCCGACTGAGCGCACTCCAGTTTAGGACAGGTGTCTTTGGGTGGAGCGGCAGTGGGGGAGGACGGGGCGGAAGAAAGAGACACACAAAGGAGGAGAAGGGGAACACCACCTGTAAAAAACAAGCACACAAAGTGTATGGTTATTAATCAAATAATATATCTCCACAAAAAGTTATGTGAGAAGAGATTTCCTATTTAAGGCACAAGTGACCTGAGTGTGAGTATTATTATAATGGTTATAATCAACATTAGAAACACTCCAATAGTCACATTTAAGCTGCAACTCATTTTGAAATGCGGAAAACTGCCAAAAAAGGATGCAGTCAGACCAATGAGCGAGACATTTCAGACTCACCAGCAGAGTGGATGAGTGCAGAGCTCTCTGGATCCATGGCCAAGTTTCCCAAAGCTCGGGCTGCTCGGTTCTGGACGGTCTCCAGGGCCACATTTCTCTTCAGGATGTCCACTAAGACAAGTCAACAAATGGCCATTAATTGTTAAAATACCAACGACTGATAAAATATTACAGCAAAACCCAAGTTTTAAAAAAAGTCCTCATAAGAAAATAAATCATCACTTACCTACAACATTTATTCCATCGTGCTTACGGACCTACAGTGAAAGACATTTTAAATTTTAGCATTTTTTTTTAAATGGAGGGTTTAATACATAAAAGCATTCAAAACATTCTCCATTACTCCTTTTATGTTACCTCTATACGCGTCTCCAGCTCGGTGCAACAGTTTGCCAGGATGCTCAGAGCCAGGTCCATGGTTTTCCTGGAGCAATCTGGGTGTTTGAGGAGGTCCAACAGGGGCCGGAGACCACCTTGACTTCTGAACCTGGCAATGCCAGCCTTGTCACCCTTGATGTGCTGAGTCCGGATAGCGACCAAGGCTCGCCACTGAGACACTCTGGACCTCTTGTCCATTTCTCTGCCACTGCCTGACTCAGCCTTGCCGTGCCCGTGATGATCGGCCCCTGATCCGGGTTTGGAGAGGTGAGCAAGGCACCAGGTCAAAGAGGACTCTGGTGATGTTGGGTGCCCCTCTCTGGAGGGTGGTCGAGATTGTTTCCAGTCACCTTGCACAGGTGAGGCTGCCATTGTCCCTCTTTCCTGGCAGGCTACGGGTTCAATTATCTTAACCTTTCCTCCTCTCAGTGTAGACACTTATTCTCCAGCCTGTGGAGCATCACTGGACGCTTCCAGTGAAATACTGACAAATTAAACAACATGTCCTTTTTCACTTTAAATTCCTACCTTGTTAACTCAGTTGACTCAACATGTGCTCTTAACTAGTTCCTTCCTTTTTTTTTTTTTTTTAAAGTTTCCACAATAACAACAAAAAAAAAAAAAATTATTTGCGTGTCCTACAGAAAACTACAGATACCAAGAAATAGGAAAAGTTGTACCACCTGACGCCGCACTTCCTGACGGGAGATGGAGTCCCAACAGCTCCGGTCCACTCCCTTAAAAACAGGCCTACATCGTGAGAAGGCCGAACAAGCGTTATTCTACGTAATGGACGTGTATTTGCTCAATGTGACACATTTTGGCCCATCAAATGACGAATTAAAACTCTATTTGATCAATGTTTTTTACCACTGGCCGAATAATTTTTGTGAAACAAAATGCAATCGCCTGTGTTAGCCGCTAACGCCATCTTTAGCCAAACAACAAAACAGGGGCGGTCGAGGGAGGGAGCAGGGAGTGAAGAGGTGGGTCGGTTAGATATATGCCGGGAGTTGTAGTTCAACTGACGCCGCCGTTCGTATTCCCCCTGGTGAATTCCATTCATTAGAAAAACTACATTCCCCTTGACAGCGAAAAACCGTACCTAGCGTTTAGCGCCTCGGAGCGTTTAGGGATTGTAGTTCAGTTAGTACGCCAGTAAACGGAAAAGCCCGTTGGAAGCAACTGAAACGGACTACAATTCCCGAGCAGTTATTTAACGTTGTTATAGTCATCGTTTTACTCGATGCGACAAAATGCATCGCTGCCTCCTGAGAGGTTGTTAAACTCCCCGATAAATACCCCACAAATAATAATAATTGAAATATGGTCTGACAACATGGAGGTACTCGAGACGATCGTGATTCAGAGTACTGAAGTGGAGGGAAAGGAAACGGTCGTGTCCAGTGTGGACACCGATAAAACCAAAGCAGGTTAGTACAACGTGAAGTTAAACCGCTTTCATCCAGTCATCGCATGAAGCGAGGAGGGCTTGATGAGTGCGCAGTCTATTGCGGTTATTAAAGCCATAAACTGTGATCCATACAGTGTCAGGTACATTAATGAGAGTTATATGTCGAATTGGTGTTTTAATCTGACAAGCTCATGTTCAATTTAATTAATAAACTTTAAAAAAAAAAAAAAAAACAGGTTAAAGGTTCAGTGCAAGGTCAAGATAATGTTTTAATTATGGGTTTGTTTGTTCCTCTCTAGAGTTTATATGGACCCTGCAGGCCACCTGGCACCTTGTCAACACCCGGCTTGAGATGGATCAGGCTTTCGACCAGCCGGTGTGCAAGAAAAAGAAACTTTGGGAGATGGTGGCAGAGAAAGTGAACGCCAAACTGAGGGAGTCAGAGGTCACCGACGTCACCGTGAAGGCGTACGAGTGTGACCTCAAGTGGAGGAACATGCTGGCCACGTACAGGAAGAACAGTGAGAGGGCCAAGAGGCTCGGGGCGGCCAGCGTCCACTGGGAGTTCTTCAAGGCCATGCACGAGGTCCTGGGTAAGAGCCGGGAGGAGATCGAAGCCCAGAGGAGGGCGAAGCTCAGCGGGACGAGAGTGGGCAAGGCCATGGCGAGCAAGAGGTTTACCCCCATCCTCCCCACGCCGCCCACGACGGCCGCCCCTTGCTCTGCCCGGCCTCCACAGGACGTCCTCCAGCTGTACATGGAGCTGCAGGAGAGGAAGATGAACATGTGGGCCCAGCAGAAAGCCCTGGAGGAGAGGAAGATAGAGGCCATTAACAACCTGGCCCAGGCCATTTCCAGCCTGGCTCAGAAGAACACTACACAGATATCAAAGGATGGACATTAGGGTCCTTTTGCTCTTACCAAAAACTTTCATGGTGCTGCATAAGGAAAAAACTGTTGGAGTATGTTTGCAAATATGTTTTTAGATTTGGTCTTGTTGGCACATTTTTACTGTTACAGTTTTTTTTGTCTGAATTCTGTAGAGCTGCATAAAGAGAGACTTCATGTTACATAAAATGGGACATATTGGACACAGACTCTTGTTTATACTCCGAGGAGACGACTTGCTTCTTCAGAGTCGTCCTTTTCTGTTGATGAATGGATTTAATTATCTATTATTTTTATACCAAGACAGACTTTGTGACAGAATTATGGTTGATTGTAGAGTAAGAAAACCTAATTTTACTCATTAATAAGATTAATATAGGCATCTTACCACCAATTATTGATGTCAAATGTCAACAATCTATACAAGAGTGTTATTTTTTGAATTGGCCCTTTAAGCAAGCTAATGGAAATGACATGATTACAACCAATTGTCAAGAAATGTCTTAAACTTCACATTTATATATTTATAACCTATTATTATTATTATTATTCTTAAGAGGTATCAAAAACAGTATTCATAGACACACTTTGATGTATTAATAACATACACTTTTGTTTTGTTGCCACACATTATTGTTCCAATAAACAATCCTGCAATAAATACTACATTTGTGAATGTTTTGTCCGCCTCCACGTTCACATTTGGTGGTGGGCAGAATATTAGTGGATAATTTACTGTTTTATCTTTTAAGTTTTACTAAAAGTAAAGAGTTATGGTACCTCGAAGCTCGAGCCTGTTGGCGTATAGTTAGATTTATTAAAGTTTACTGCCCTCCGGTGGTCACAGTGAGGAGCTGAAACACTACATTTTATTTGCGGTTAACAGTTTGAATATTAGTTTAATAATTAATATCTATGTACAACTCATTAATAGAGATTACAACTAAAGTGACAACTGTATTATCAATAATTGTATTAGCAGAAAGTTGTTTTAAAAATCATTTTTTCAAGATTAGTTTAACCTGGTAATATTTATACCAGTGTAAAGGTAGACATAACAGCATATACTTACATTTAATATTATTTATTAATGTACTTTTTTATTGTTTTCTGGAGCCTGCCAGCACTTCCACTCTGAAATATAATGGCATCCATTATTCTGATTACCTTTGCGTAAGTCTAATTTTAGGATTAAGCCTACGTCCATGTCAGAAAAACAAGAGAATTAAATCTTTTTTTATCAGTCTTAAAGTCTATTTGTCATCCCTATTATAGTAAACCACAGTAATAACTAAGCATTCCCCAGATTTACTATGGAAAACTCCCACAATGCAACCTATCCCTTTATTCTGATAGCAGCAATGATTATTATGTGTGTTATATATGCAGACAGACGCAGACAGACGGTTAAAATAAACCTTTTATATTACAGAACTGCTCATTTACATCTATAAACACAAGTTGTCCAACAGGCCTCGTCACATCACGCGCTATCACAATCACAGTTTTTCAACAACAGATCTGAGATGGCGTCACGTCTGCGTGCACCCTCGTCGTCCACCTCCCCCTCTCCCTCTCGGCTCACGTCTTCATCTTTCTCAACTTCCCCTTGAATCGCTTGTCCCATGTCCAAAAACACATTGTGCAACACGCAGGCAGTCAGCACAACAGCTCTGGCTCGATCGTAGTTCCCAATATCCAGATACCTGAGCCTCTGAAACCTGGCTCTCAGGTTGGTGACAGCCTGATCCAGGATGTGAAAATGCTCCTCCAGCGTCTTGTTGAAGAGCTCTTCTTTTGGTCCGAGACTTCCTGCGTACGGCGTTAAAATCTGAGGCGTGAGCGGGTATCCGGCTCTGGCCACGAGGCAGGAGCCGGAGGGCATCAGTTCAGGATGCTGTTTGAGTTTGTCCCTCAGAGCGCCGCCTCTGTCCACATCTGATCCTCTACTGATTCTGCAGTGCAGGAACCGGCCCTTACTGTCGCACACGAGCTGAAGGTTTAGCCAGGAGTCGGGGTGGGCCTCCTTCTTCATCCTCTTCACCTCAGGCACTGCGCTCTCCACATCATGTTTTCCTATCGGCAGGCGGATAGGGATGCGGATGTGTCCCAAGACTCCCAGGACCTGAGGGACGACTTGCTCCTCTTGTTCCTTCTCTGAACTGGCGAGTGGGACAAGGGTCTCTACAGCGTCTGCACCTGGAGATCAGAGAGGAAATACCCCCAAACATTATCATTTTCGACCCCCTTTTTTTCCCCCCACTCAAATCACTCAATCATCCAACAAATCTCCCACAAACAACACTGAAACTCAACCCACCGACTGGCCATCTGATCAGCGTCTCTTCCAGCGTGTTGATGCGCTCGCAGAAAGAAAAGAAGATCCTGTGGATGTTTCCTTTCTCCAGGTGGAAGCGACGAGACACCGAGCGGTAGCTGACACGCTCAGTGAGCAGAGTGAGGGACAGCAGGACGGTGTGGGACAGGGACAGGCGAGCTCGTCCGGCCATTCGAGCCCTGGATTTGGAGCTTTGAAGCAGGTCTGCGATGTGCTGATGAGGGAAAAAAAGAAAATAATGTTAACAGCGACTAACTTCTGTTTGTCTCGTGCTGATTGTTAATGGGTATACAGTAAAAACATTATATTCCAATTAATTTGACAGGTATTGCAGTTGTGATATGATTCACAATTAGAGTGGGAATTATCATTTTTGTATCACAAATTTAATATACGCTTCAGAAATTTAAAATCATGCTGATGTTACATTTTGCCCCCAAAATTTTACCAAACAAACATGTTTTCTTACATCTGGAGAACAATACTTCCTTATTGTGCTGTTTTGTTACATATTATACCTTTATCCCAAAAATAATTAGCAGCTTTTACAATTTGCATATTGCAGTAAGTCCATGTTGCAGCCCTAATAAATATCATTATAACCCCACACTCACTCTTAATGTCGTTGTTATAGTAATGTGTGGGCTAAATAAAAGTTAAAATCTATCATCCAACCATTACCAAGAGAAAACAATCGGGTATATGTCTCTTCCCCACCTACTGACAGATTAATAAACTTATTAAAAGAGCATGCAAACACTGCCAGTGTTAGTAGAGCAGATACCTGCACTGCTGCACTGTGCACAGGATCCGGTGGCTCCCGGGGCTCTGGTGTCTCTTCCTCCGGGGGACTGGATAGTGTTGTTGCCTGTAAAACCTGAGGCTGCACATTTGCTTGACCCTGCAGTAGCTGAACATACACGGCAGGACTAAGAGGAGGCTGACTTTTGAGCTTCGCTATCAGCTCAGCCTCCAGGATCTCCTCCACCGCCTGGTCCAACCTCTGCTCCAGCTCGCCCGGGGACAGCGGCTGCCACTCCCGCTCCACCATGTCCTGCACGGCTCTGCCCGCCGATAAAACACACTCACTCACGTCCATTTGTACCGCAGGAGGATAGGTGTTCGCTAAGGCTTAGTTAAACCATAAATCAAGTCGTTTTCTCCCTCCATGCCAATAGTTGATAAAGTTATTTGTCGCCGTTGGTAGCAACATGCTAAGCCAGCCTGCGAGCTATCGTACGCTGCGTTCAAGTGCCGTCGGAAAGTGCGAAGAAGCCGTTTGTGATACATTCAGGAGCAACTGTACAACGTAACACTCACGTTTGCAAAAGTGGTCAATTGTGACATTTCTTTTAACGTATGTTCTGCATCTGTATTCCGTTTTATACATATTTTAGTTTAGAGTTGAAATGTTGAAATAACGTACGTAAAATATTTATTTCAGCATCCTTTGCAGTATTGTCTACAAATGTTATTGTTTTTTGTTTGTATAAATGTATAACTGTACATATTAATCTATGCCTATTTTGTTGAACTTGTTCTGTTTATTTATGCTGTTAGTCTGTGTTAGCGAGGTAAAACCAGAGTCAATGTGTGGCCAATAAAGTGATTCTGATATGTTGTCCATTAATCAATTTTAAAACATCTCACCAGGAGGACGGACTGCAGTTGACAGTTAGCTCTTTGACTTTAACACTTGCATTTACCCAAATGTTGATTAATGTTGCATTGTCCAAAATAAAATTAAGTATTTATCAAGCAGAAATGGCATCCTCTGATTTCAGCCTCTCAAATGTGAAGATTTGCTGCTTCTCTGGTGTATGATTATAAAATGTATGTTGTTGGAATTTGGACTGTTGTTTTGGCCAAACTCTATCATAATAAATAAAAAGTAATTTGAAAAAGTCAACTAGGGTTCAGGGGTATTGTGATGGGCATTAATCTCCATTTTATGACATTTTATTGACCATATAAGTACTTAATTCTTCTTGGATTAATTCAGTTTTAATTATTTTCACTTACTCACATCACACACAGACAGCTGTCCTAGTTAAGTGACTTTTCAAACACATGTGGACATTGCTACCTTCTTTTTCTCCTTACTAGTCCCCGCAATATAAGCTGAAACATCAATTGATTGTATTCTTGCATGTGTTAATATGTTTACAGTCGACTACAAAAAGCATAGAAAAACACCACAGTGCACAGGGGGTGAAAAACAGTTGTTTTAATGTTAAATCAGTTACAAGTGCAACTTTGATCATGTCCCACTGTTTAACAGCCTCAAATTGCAAATGCGGTAATGTCAACAATTTCATTCAACACCCCCAAGTCGGAATATACTTTCCCGTTGTAACTAATGGAGGAGTTTGGTTTTTGTTTTGTTTTTTTAAAATTGTAGTTTTCTAGATCACAAGACCCAGCGTTATACTTTTATTTGATGTGGAGAGGAGTTTCTAATGCACCTTTAATTTTAGGAAAAGAACGTGTATTAAGGTTTTAATGGTGTATAATACAACACAAGCTGCAGCATGAACTGAATTCTAAATGGGCAGTGATTCTGGGATGATGGAGAGTCGAATGTGCAGCCCAACTACTCACAGGCACAGTTCATAACTCATCACATGACAAACTACCTGTGTGTGTTTGTGTGTTTGTGTGTGTGTGTGTGTGTGTGTGTAACTTAAAACTGTTTAGGTTTACTACTCAACATCTCCACGATGTCATGTGCTACAATCAAACACTGGAGAGGAAAGTTGGTTAGTCCCAACGTTCGTTAGTAGAAAAAAAAATAAAAATAAAAATCAATAATTACTGTTATTTTTGATTGCTGCTATGCGGTCAGTCATTTGATTTTCAACACCAGGTCCACGCCAGCGTTACATGTGTTGTAGATGCCCACAACTGAGTGCATTCAGTCTCAGTAACTTCTGTGAGCAGCTACAGTATGAAAACTACAACTACTGATAAGTAAAGTACCGAGAAATGTTCATCTTAATGCCAGATCTTCTGCCAACAAGCGAATCTGTTTTTTATTTTCAGATTCATACTGTTCAAAAGTTGTTTGAAATACAGATAGTAACTTAGAATTTCACAAACTCCCTAGCTATTGTCGCAACACATATCCAGGCCAAAGACCAAAAAACATGTTAAATCCTAGTAATAGTTTAATAAAGAAACACACAAACATAAAAGCCTAAAAATGTCACACCTTATCAACTCCCACATTTAAGCCAGCAAAATAAAAAACACAAGTAAGGCAGCAGTAACCTTACCCCAAATAAAGACTAGAATTAATTAAATACGAGGTACAATTCTTTATGTTCAGCCTTTACCAATCCCATGGATGACTGACAGTGTCGTGACAAGTCCGTCAGGTATCTCTGAAGGGTCTTGTGTGAAATTATCAAATTTATCTAGCATGCGTTCACCGATATCAGGACAAATGAACCACTTTGAAGCACCCGCCCTCAAATTTACAACAAGGGGGAATCCGTGTTTGTAATTGTTTATGCCCAGCTGAAGCTCTGTCGTCTGCAAGGTTAAAACTCACCCGCTGAGGCATCACTTCCCAAAAATTCAACCCCTCCCTCCCCCCCGTGCATCCACCCTCCGGCCCCCCCTGCGTGTCCCTCTCGTTTCCCCCGCCCCCTCCCTCACTGTACAGCCTGCTCGTTGGCTGTGCTGCCCGAGTCCTGGGGCTTCATCACGTCAGGGAGCTCTGGGGGAGTGGAGAAAGACTCAACCCTCAGCTGCTCAAATGAATCATCTGAGAGAACGACAGAGACAGAGAGAGAGAGAGAGAAAGTGTCCACAGTAGAAAGGGGAGAGGAGAGACATAAAATATAAATCAGAGCTACTAAAGTTCAAAACAACTTGCTCAGCTCAGAGAGCAAAGAGTGGCTTGAAATGAAACGAGTGAGTGAACGGCACCACGACTACAAAACTAACTGAAAATGGGCTCATACGAGGTTGAATAAAAAGGTGAACTACTTACCACTCAGACGGAAAGCTAATCCCACCGTGGCTGGGGCCTGAGGTCGGGCTGTTTGATTTGTGAAGCCACAGTTTCCAAGAGTTTGACCGTCGTTCAGCATCACGTCATCCTGGGGGGCAAAAAAAAAAAAAAAACATTTCGAAAAGATAAGTAGTACTAGATTTTTACACAGATCATCAGAGACGGTGTTCACAGGGTGGGGACTCATCAATATCACACAATGCTCTCTATTGTGAAGACTACTGGTGTTCTCCTGAGCCAGCAAGTCTGTATTCGGTGTCAGTTACATTTAAAGCTAAATAAACCCGCAACAATTGGGTAAATTAAAAGGACGCAGCTTAAAAAGTAGCGTGTGTAATGTCTGATTTTTTGACACTGTTAAGGATGGGTAACATAGATTAAGTCATCTATCAACCATGTATGTGATTTTATGTCAATATATGTATAATATATACATGATATAATACATTTTTAGAATAATAATTGATAAATGTGTTAAATATTTAGACAATTATGTCTCTTTTTAATAATAAATCAACATTGCTTTGATGAAAATCGTATTAAAATCTAATATCACCATAAAGCTGTCCTGCTCATAGATTTGTAACATTACACACACAAGTATAATACAACTACAGATATTAAAAGAGATAGCTAACTCATAAACAGTATTAGCACAGCAAATAATGATCACTTTCATTATTGATTAATCCGCTGATTCCTTTTTTATGAATCATGAAATTTGCTAGTTTTGTCTGTTTAAAAACATACATATATTCACCTCACCGTCATATATGATAAAGAAAAACAGCAAACACACATTTGAGACGCTGAAACCAGAGAATATTTGGATTTTTTGTTTGAGTGATTAGTTATCAATAGTTGCGGATACATTTTCTGCTCATTCTAGCTATACATTGTCACACACTCTCCTCCATCAGACCGGGCTAAAACATGAATATAAAAGGTGCTGCTCAGGTGGGTATGAGCAACAATAACAACAAACCAAGGAGCTGTTCTCCGTACGTACGTGGTCATTACACTAATAAGACCACTAAAGAGTTTACAGGCAGCTCACATAAAGGAATAGGTTGAAGGTTTCAAGCAACAAATAATGACACAATAATTTTTCCAAGAATGGAATTTTATCACCAATAGATCCAAATGTTAAAACTTTCATGGTTGTTTATAAATAACTACATTTTAGCACATTCCCAAACATGTCTGAAAGATGTTCCAGGTAATTTTACCTTATAAAGCCTCTGATCTTCAGGTGGCCTCTTTAAAATGCCTTCCACAATGCGCTTCAGTTCGTAGACTGTGGTAGACTCTTTGGCATCTGTGAAGATGGTCGTCTTGTGACGTCGAATCATTAGAAACACATCCTGAAGTGAGATCGAAAGCACAGAGGGAAAGAGTGGAAATGAGACACGGCACGACTCCCAACAATATTCACGTGAGGAAAAACTTCATTAGTAAGCTGTTTTCTTAAAACACACAACTGTAAACATCTGCAGGCACATTTCAACCTGAAAGAACTCATTCATGGTGTGTTTTAACCAGATTCTTCAAAAAGAAGTAAGATTATGTTGCATTTGTAATAAAAAATCCCACACAAATAATTCCTAATCTACTCACAATTAAAGCAACAACATGTTGGTAAATGTAATCAACTACAGCAGAGTAACTTACTGAGGATGTTCCTGATACATCTGATAATGCAGACAAACACTAGGAGAGAGTCAGCCCAACCTCTGAGGCATTAAGATCCACTATAGTCTCACATTAACTGCTGGTAAAACTTAAAAGTAGTTAAATTAAGATTGCTTCTCGCTTTTGTACCAGCCAGGTTGCAAAACTCCAGGTTTACGTTTGGAGGAGAAGCTGGCGGTGACAGCTGGTGAGTCAGGTAGTTGATGAGTCGGGTTGGGTCTATAAAAGACACCAATCCGTCCACCAATCCGTCCACCAATCCGTCCACCAACCAGTTCACCAATCCGTCCACCGAGGTGTTTAAAGAGCCTCGGTGCGGCAGCTGCTGGCTAGCGTCATGACGAGCTAACGTTTAGCTGTCGTAGCTTCCCCCCCCTCACAAATAAACAGTAAATACACACCATGGGCTACATTTACTACACACAATGTGAGCTGGGAACCTGTCTAATGTTCAAGCAGCTCAAAAAAAACAACAACAAAAAGAGTTTCTTGGTGGATTGTAACGTTAGCCGGGGCTACAACTTTAGCTGGTTAGGCTTCTTCTTCTTCTTCTTTCTTTCGGCGGCCAGCTTGTGGCCATTTAATCAAAAAACAAAGTTTGTTAGTTGAGCTGTCACGTATCCAAAACAGAGTTAGTCCCTCCTCGGTTCAGCCTGGATCATTCCCCGCTGACCACGTTAACCACTTTTAGCTTCATCACCCTAAAACGTCCGGTCGGCTAGCGTGTGGGGGGCAAACGGTTAGCTAAACAAAGGCTTCTGACAGCGACACATTTTAACGATTTACAGGAAAATACCGCGACGAATTAAAACCGAGGTTTGTCGTTACATTTACTAAGAGCCGTGTCTGTTTTCCTCACTCACCATTTCTTGCGGTTGGTGGCAAACAGAGGAGAGAAAACACACAACCGCCTCCTCCTCTGCACAGCGACAACGGGGAGCTCACGGCTGACACCTCCGGAGACGACCGACAGGTGGCGATGGTAGCCGAACTCTCTTCTTCTCGTGATGTTTAATTCGCCGTCGGTTCTTCTTGGGGGGAGTGAACCTGCGTTATTTAAAATGACAGAATTATAATAATAATAATAATAATAATAATAATAATAATAATAAAGTTGATATAAATGTGTTTTATGAGACAGCAACCCATCAATAATAATAATAATGTGCAATTTGTGTTGTGCTGTTTGTGGATTCCTGCTGGTTTTTCTCTTGTACATGGTGTTTTTAATTATTTCACTACTACTACTGTTTTTTTACGGTGGCCCTGAGGTGCAAATCACAACGGCAAATCAGAAAACACAAACAAAGAGCAAAACGACTCAAAAATAGAAAACACAACGACAAATCAGAAAAACACGACACAAAAAGAGCAAACACAACACAAAAAGAGAAAAACACAACACAAAAAGATAAAACACAACGACAAATCAAAAACAACGGAAAACACAACACAAAAAGAGAAAACACGACACAAAAAGAGAAAACACAATACAAAAAGAGAAAACACAATACAAAAAAAACAAAAAGAGAAAACACAACACAAAAAGAGAAAACACGACACAAAAAGAGAAAACACAACACAAAAAGAGTAAAACACAACGACAAATCAGAAAATACAACGACAAATCAGAAAACACGACAAACAAAAAAAGAGAAAACACGACACAAAATCAGAAAACACAACACAAAAAGAGAAAAACACGACACGAACACAAAAAGAGAAAACACAACACAAAAAAGAAAAAACACAAACGACAAATCAGAAAACACAACACAAAAAGAGAAAAAACACGAAAACACACAAAAAGAGAAAACACAACACAAAAAGAGAAAAACACAATACAAAAAGAGAAAACACAACACAAAAAGAGAAAAAACACAAAAGAAAACACGACACAAAAAGAGAAAACACAACGACAAATCAGAAAACACAACACAAAAAAGAGAAAACACAAAAAAAAAAGAACACACAAAATCAGAAAACACAACACAAAAAGAGAAAACACAACACAAAAAGAGAAAACACAACGACAAATCAGAAAACACAACAACAAAAGAGAAAACACGACACAAAAAGAGAAAACACGACACAAAAAGAAAAAACACAACACAAAAAGAGAAAACACGACACAAAAAGAGGAAACACGACACAAAAAGAAAAACACAACGACAAATCAGAAAACACAACGACATTAACCAAATTGGAAAAGGTAGGTACCCTCGGGCGACATGAGTCGTCGCTGATTGGACAAAAGAACTGGTCCGTCCTTTGAACCGGAAACACAACATCGCCAGACCTATACATTCAAGTTGCCAAATCTGAAAATTCAAATCACTAAATAAGGAAAATATTGTATTAATACGTCCATGTTAATGTGGGATACCTACGAGAGGTAGAAACAGGGGTTCCAATAGTCCATATCGTTGTGTTTTCTCTTTTTGTGTTGTGTTTTCTCTTTTGTCGTTGTGATTTGCACCTCAGGGCCACCGCAGTACGTTTTTTTTGTTTTGTTTTATACTGTTCTTTTCTCTATCCACTTTGCTGCTGAAACATTACAATTTCCCCTTTGTGGGACAAATAAAGGAATATTTAATCTAATCTCTCTAATTTTCTGTCTGGAGAAGTGGGTGTACTCTTAATTTTATGCCCCCAATTTTTTAAAAACCAGCCAGTTCAGTAAAGATTAAAACCCCCCATGTATACCCTGCACTGCACCCCTGTATACCCACTTATTTATCAGTCATGTGGATCATTCAGTAGTGTTCTGTAAGCTATATTTCCAATTAGGTGCCTTAATTTGGGAAAAGTAGAAAAGAGAGAGTGTTCTGATTAGCTAATAGTTCTGGAAATTTGGATCTGAATCATGTCTTCACCTATTTACAGGACTGATAGGAAGGATGTAAGACTTTGGTAACACTTTATAATAAGGGTACAAATCTTCTTAGTATATGATTTGTACCCTTATTATAAAGTGTTACCAAAGACTCACAATTAAGGCACCTAATTGGGTTTCAAAATCTCAAAAAGTTGCAGCTGAAGATACCAGCACAATTTAACAAAGAAAGTATTTTATTATTTATTATTATTTACATTTTAATATTTTGGTTCCTCATGGAGTTTCATTCCTCCTTCAGACCCTGCTGTAGTACAGTTCTATAGGATCAAAGCCCAGTTAAAGACCTTCATCATGTCTCCCTCACTGGTGACATTTACAGGTGTTTCTTCACACTTTTACGCGGGAGGACTTTGTTTCCTCTCAGCCTGATAGCAGCTGTCACCACAGTGACCGAGACAGCTGAACTGACAGCAGCTGAGACATACCAATCAACCCAGGTGCCACAAGCTGCTTTAAGATGAGGGTTTGTTTGTTGTTTTTTCTATCATGTTGATGATGTTTCAACTTGATTGGCTGGTCGGTAAAAGCTTACAAACATACATAGACACACAGACACAATTGTCATAATAAATCGCTTTCTTGTATTGTTTCTGAAGACTATAACACTGTCATCTGTAAACAATGAGGCTCCAACTTGTCTTTGCATAATGTGAAATAGTCTGTGCAGATGAAACTCAGCTATGACAGGTGTGATTCTTATGCTGCAGATGCCCTACATACTGTGCTTACCACCAGTGTTGGGCTAGTTGCTCAAAAAAATTAATGTATTACTCATTACTCTTTTAAAAAGTGATATAATTACTTCACTTACTACTGTAATTAATTTCACTTTTCACATTTTTGTGTCTTATGAAGTGACTTAAAAAAAAAGGAGCATTTCCATCTTCCAAACTAGTTGTAACTGAATATTTTTTGGAGTAACTGTAATATTATTATTGAAAAGTATTAGTAATTACTTCAACAACTAGTTACTGGGAAAAGTAATATTATTACTAGTAAAGAGTTACTGCCCAACACTCATATGTAAATACATGAGTATTTTTGTAGTCCCACATTACAAGGTGTAATCAGAACAGTTCATATTCGAAGTTTATTGACATGTTTTACATTTTATAGACATAAAATAACAACAAACAATCAGGCACAGCAGACTCAAATGCTTGTTCGGACTACAGCTGACTTACAGTCGCTTAGGAGAGACCACATTGACGAATCCAATGTTATATCAGACTCACAAGGCTCAAGCTCAAACTACCCCTCTGGTTCCAGCATTTTAAAGACAATTCATTGTTCATTGTTCAGTGCCGTTAATAAAACATTACATTACTTTTGATTGAACAGATTGAAAGTGACGTTGAGTCCTCAGAGAGTGGATGACGCTGTAGAAATGTGCAGTTTCAGTCGTCACACGGGTCCAACTATCAGGGTTTACCACGTTCTCCACTGTGGCCACGAAGTACAGCAGAACACCGGCACTTGTCAATGGCAGTCCTTCACAAGGTCTCCATAATACTTCCTTCCTGGTTTGTTAGTAAAAACCGAGCCCAGTTTGATTTCTACATCAATTGACCTGAAAAGTAATAATACTGAGTGAGAGTTGTACATCACTGACCAAAATGTAAAGACATTCCACAAATTCCATGACCCCAGAAAAATGTAGAATATTATATTAACGTATTGTTTGTACTCGCACACAAAAAATAAATAAATTCAACTCACCAAACAAACTTTGAATCTCTATCTAATCACGAAAACACTCTCTCGGATCTTGGAATAAGTATACTGTGGAACAGAGAGAACAACTGTCATTTTACAGTTTATATAAAACAAAATCTTATCGATATTAAAATGTGTAATAGCTACACTTACATTCAGTCCTCTGGGGGATTGGGCAGGCTCCAGTCCCTTACAGCAGAGCACAGAAAAGGGCCTTTCCTTAGTCTTTGAATGCTCTTTGAAACACAGGCTGAAAACCTTAGCGGGCAGGTAGACATCCCAGTCAGCTGCATGCTCCTCTATTAGATCACTTACCATCCTGTTGGGGAGCAATGTGAAAACATTAGTATGTAAGCAAGCAGTTACAGTGTCCTTAAAGCATTCATCAGTTCATCACACCAATGCAGTATCGTATAAATGAGAATGAATACTGTCTGGTATTTTGATTGTTGCAATTGAGATATAGCTTAAATGTGTCCTTGTAGGCTGCATTGCATAGGATACATATATAATAAATGCTTCTGTGTGGGCCACGATGTCCACATTACATTACTGACAAGAGGGTCTCAATTTAAAAAAACATCAGAGCAGAAAGACTACAGGCAAGAGATGGAGCCTGCCAATCATCTCAAAGTGCACATGTTACCACATTATTAGATTATAGTACCTGTCAATCAGCTGCTGTGTGATCAGATCTGCAGTGCCCGTCTGCTGATGATAGACGACAAGAGCGACGGCGACCTTCAACTGATCTTTCAGTTCTCTGTTGATCTAGCATGAAGATACATTTACACAATACAATGTGTGAGACACAATATTACACAAATACTTTATTAAAATGTTCACATATATGCCCATATCAGTGACCTCTAGTGATATCTAGAGTCACATGAACTCTGATATGACTGTTCACACCGAGGTCACACTGAAAAACATCCGATCTGTATCTGATAGATCCTCCTAAATGTTACAAACTGGACCTTTAAGCTTTCTATAACAAAGCACTCACTTTGTGGACAATGTCGTGAGGCAGTCGGGAGAGGATCCTGAGCGGGTATCCAAAGTGGGCGATGACGTCCACGATGTGCTTCGCCACATGTGAAGGGAGGCACGACTGCATAGGCACAGCTTCCACCCACTTGGAGTAGTAGTCTGTCACAGTCAAAACGTATTTGTGTCCGTTCAGTGTTTGGGGCAGCGGCCCTCTGACATCCAGACCAAGCCACTGCCACGGCTCTTTCACCTGCCATCACAGCATGACGTCATCCAGAAATACAGTGTGATTGCAGTAACAATGCCATGAATCACTTTAGTTTGTATTTAATGTAATGTCAGGTAGTCGTGTTGTAACGTACCTCTATCACGTTCTCAGGATCTTCACCTTCTTTCTGTTAAAAAATTACAGAAGAGCATTAAAATACTTTATGATACAGTATAAAGGGCAAAATGTTGTAGTTTAAAATCATGACGATCACTTACACTCACATTATCATCTGGAGCCCACTGAATATCCTGTTAGTACATGTGAAAAATACAACAAATGAAAACATTATTAATATGAAATAAGAGTATTTGATTTGCCTTATGTCGTACCACAATTCCTATAAATAATGAGATCACAAAGTAATCAAAACAGTGATTAGTAGTAATACCATTTACCTGAGGTACACAGTAATCTCCATGGAAGAAATGTGGAAAAGACTCGATCTTCATCAGACCTTCGTCTACTATAATCCTCCATTTCTCTGATTTTTTGGGGTCTTTGTCTCTGAACGTAAAGCAGAAAAGGATAACAAATTAAAAAGGAAACAATCCAAATAGGTAAAAACCAAACACTAAACACCTAATCCAGGAATTCAGGTTCAACCTTTAGCTGAAACTGCTGTTCACAGATTCTAATGCAAACTGAACCCACACACACACACACTTAAGACAAAGACATCAGGTGCAATTTGTGGTTCATTATCTCGACCGAGGACACTTTGATTGAACCAGTAACCCTCCGATTACAAGACGACTCGCTCTGCCACCTGAGCCAGTCACATACCTGGCAGGCTCCTCTTCTGTCGGTCTGGACTCTTTGTTCTGGACGCTTCGCTTTGCTGTGGCAGGAGGGGTGGTTGGAGGCTGAGCTGGACTCGTCTGCGAGGCTTTAACAGCAGGCGGCTGGGTTCACAATACGAGGGAAAAAACACACACTGGGGTCAGAAGAGTGTGGTACTGATTGTGGTTGTAATTATTTTATCTTTTAACCCAAAATCCAAGAAAGCTCCATTTGAGCAAACAATGTTTTATAAGAAAATGGACCGAAAAGCTTAATAAATGTGTCAATGTGTGCTCTCACCTTGTGTCTCTTACTTCTTGGGTTGATGGAAGCCTACATCAGGGGAACAGTGACAGTAATTGAGATCTTTATTTCAGAAAATGATTTAAGGTTTTAGAGTTTTTTTTTATCTTTCAATGATCCACTGACGTCGAGTAACTACATACAGACCTTTCTTTTCTGTGTGTTGTCAGCGGATGAAAATATGGTGGGGACTGCGTCTTCTCGGAGTTTCACACATTTTCCACTTCTGTCAATGTACTGTTCCTCAAAATGATTGATGCACAGCACAGAGAAGCGAGATGGGGTCCAGTCCTTCCACTTCATGTTGACAAGCCACTTCTTCAGCTTTCGGGGATTGAACAAGGGAAACCTGCAAACAACACAACTCATTAAAACAACACTGAACTCCATTTAAAAGTCACTTTTACCTGCAAGATCTCTTCATGGTAAAACATTATTTAAAGGGTTTTTAACTTGAATCGATTTTTAAAAGTAGCTGCAGATTAATTAACTTTCTGTCGATTAGGTTGAGTGCTTATCCTGTTATCTTGTTCGCAGTTATTTAAAAACGTCGACACAAGCTGGAAAAACGTAAAAAAAACCAGCAAAAAGTGGATAAATACGATTATGTGATATTAATGTTTATGTTAGCAAATAGCTAGCTATTTCTCGCTTATCTTTTTAGAGGAAAAAACGGTCAATACTCACTTAAAAAACTTCACATCTGAATCGCTGGAGGTCTCGCAGTTGTAGGCGCATTTATATCTTCCCATTTTGGACACAATTTGGTTAAATTTGGGGGCCAAAGTGATTGTTTTGCTGCAGTTGTTTAAGCGACAGTTTGTAATACCAGCTCAGCATCCGGTTACAGATTTCAAAATAAGAGCCTCACAAACGCTTCGAAAGCCGTTGGAGAAAAAAGCCGTTGACATTTTAAAAAGGTGTATATAATGTTTGGTGTTATGTTTTTACGCTGTTATTGTAATATAAAACAGTATTGCTTTATGTTCTCTGCTTTTTGCGGTGTTTAATTTCCGCTGTTTCTCTTACAAAATGTTGCTAACTTGACCGAGTTTCTTCTTCTTCTTCTTCGCGGTGTGTTTTAGTTGCGGATGAGTGCCCTCTAGCGCCCCCTTACGGATAAAAGACAGAAGAAGAGTCAGATATTCTTTATTTACATATTAATGCAAAAACAAAAAAAAGTTCAATTAATATTTTCTCACTGAGCCTCTAAATTTAATATACATGTAAAAATAAAAACATTCCCGTACAAATATTGATTTTTTTTTTATTTTTATCTTGTATCAAACCCACTGAGATTTGACCACAGAATGAATCAAACAAGGGATACTTAAAAATGTCACCGTTTAATTAATATGAAAAATATAAAGGATGCAAAATGGCAGCAGATGACAGCTCAGCTGCTTTTTGTTTTCCACTCGACCCTCCACTCATCCCAGTCCAGTAGAGTTCGTTTCATGTCCCATCCTGCAGCTTCCACGCCTGGAAATTATATTAGAGAATCATGTTTCTTTAGGTAAAAATACAAAGTTTTGTAGATTAAAACTGTTTTGTGGGTGCTCACCTTTGAGAAATGGATTGAAAATTGTGTCCATCACTTTGTGACTCTCATGTACCATTTCCCAGTGACCTTTAAAAAAATAAAAATAAAAGTGTGTACCACGTAGAACAGACAAAGCACCTCTATTAATGTAAAGTAAAGAAATGAATGGAGGTAAAGGCTCACTGGAAGTTGGAGTCAACATGCTGCTGAGCCACACAGCTTGGCACATTGCTCTGATTTCATCATGTACTGATGCTTCTGGTCCCAAACAAACACATACGCAGCCTGAGAGCAACACAGATGAGTTAAAGAAAACATTCAGAGTGTGTTGTATGGCTCTTAAACACACTGCCGTCCTGCGGAGGACAAGATTACATACCATTTCGTACTCCTAATAGGAAAGGCATGTTGTTGTTCTTCAAAGCCAAATTAAGTTCCTCTGGGCTTCAAAATAAGCAAAATTATATGATGAACTGTGTTTAACTTTTATTGTGTGTAATTTTTCATCGTATACACAAAACTGGTGCATGAAATTACCTTTGTACAACCTCCTGTAGCCTCACTCCAAGTCTGATTGGCACCGTTTTTCTAAACTCTGGGGGGGAAAAAAAGAAGAATCCATAATTTTTAAACCACAAAATTAACATTTTACTATTTCTCGATGCTGCCAGAATTGGCTACGAACAGTCAAGAGAATATCAGTAAGTTCCCGACTCTTACCGAAGAAAACCGGTTCTCTCTGATTGGCCTCTAGCGGACTCAGGATCCGTCTGTCTCCCAGGTACTGCTGCAGCACGATCGAAAGCCGCGCCTCGTTGAAGGTTTCCATGACAACCGAACGCACAGCCTTGTAGTTGGCAAAGAGGTGGAGGATGGTGAAGAGGAAGAAGAGGCTGAGAGTCAGTCTGAGGGGCAGAAAGAGGAGAGAGAGAGAGAGAGGGAATGCAGGTAGCTGACGTAAAGAGATCCGACTGTCCCTGGGTTAGATTCATACGGTGTACGTTGTATACGACAGCACTTACACTGGATTATCAGTGACGAGGGGAATGAGTACCAGACTGATCAGCAGTCCCGCCAGATTCACTAAAGTTTCCTGTGGGAAACAAAAGACATGAAGACGAGACAAGAATGAAATTCAGACTCTTGGCTTTGATGATTTTACAGATTTTTATAAAGACTTATTATCAGGGTAAACTCTTGCAGTTCAAACAGCTGTCAATAGGCCTTTTTAGTGAAGACACTTAGACATGTCCCAGTAGGGAAAGGCGCAGGTGTAAATGATAAAACCAATGATGGCTGAATTCCATTTAGCTGCTTCAGTTTGAGGGTCCTGGTATTGTGCATGCCGACACACTGTCACTTAACAGAACAGAGCCATTGTTAATATTACTAGTACTATGTCTGCTGGGAAAAGGTGAAGGATATACGCCTCTGCACACTCTGTTCACTGCGGTTTGCTCCACAACAGACAGTCTGACGGAAATACGAGTCACAGGTCAAGAAATATACGAAACGGTACCTGACTCCCGTCTTTGGCAGAGATGTCGGCCATGTTGTCTCTGCGAGCCTGATGAACAGTCAGAGCAGCTCTGGTCGCGCCGCCTGCCACTCCAACAATGGACTGGAGAAGACAAACACACAACAGACCTGTTTCACAGCATGAAATAGTAGGGTAAATACAGGTGTAAAACCAACAATTCAACTTACAATTAGCAATAAATACCTAGTAGAAGAATACATTTGTTAGATAATTTATTTAGTTTATTCCCAAGTCTAGGAACCAGGCAGTATAATGTGTTAAAAAAGGCTAAACTTAAGGTTCACATACTACTGATTTACCTCTGGGAATAACAAATTAAGTGACCTTTTTGAGTGAGTTTTAAAATTTGCATCACAGTTTTTTTTTATTCACCTTGAATATCCCCGCAGTACACACAATCAGGGTGAAGAAAGCAGGAAAGTATGGAGCTAATATTTCCATGAACATGGCAGTGTCGTTGAGAACATCAGCAAAAAGTCTGGCAAGAGATTAAATAGAAGCACTTTAGTACATTAAATGGGGTTCATGAGAACGACTAGAATGAGCCTCTAACACCATTTATACCTCCATTTCTTGGCCTCAGAGTCCAGTTTAGTCCTGGAACAAAGACAACAAACTGATCATAAAGAGGAATTTACCACCAGTGAAAGAGGATAAATACTAAATAACTACTATAGTATTGGACACACGCACACATACATATATATACATATATATATATGAGCCTACCCTTTCTGCCAAGCGAACAGGATTCTTCCCAGCATGCCAGTTCCATCTGCAGGAGGAAACACGAGCTTTGCACTCATCATGCAAGAGTAATGGAAATGTTATGGTATATTTTAAAAAAAAGGGGGTTTACCTCTTAGCAGCCAGGTGATTGTGGCCGCTGCTACTGTCGCCTCTTGGTTTCCGACACCGACTCCTTTGAGAGAGGCCTGAGTGGCTAAAGTCCCTGACAGAGAGCTGGAGAAAGCCTGAGAGAGAGAGAGAGAGAGAGAGAGAGAGAGAGAGAGGGAGAGAGAGAGAGAGAGAGGGTTTAGATCTGATGGTGATGGTAATGGTCTCACTGGTTTCTCTTCCTTTTACTGTACCTGCAAGGTGTCCCAAAACTGGTACTGCAGGTAGTCCTTACTGACGCTCTCTGGGTAGCCTTGAGGCAGAAAGACACTCTGAAATAAGATGTCAAACTGTGAGCCTGAGGGTGTGTGTGTGTGTGTGTGTGTGTGTGTGTGTGTGTGTGAACAAAAGTGTGACTATAAAGAAAATAAGAAAGAAAAAGTTGTAAAATCCTTACTTTAAAAACTCCAACAATAGAGTTTCCTCTCGATTCACCTTCACTCCCATCTCTTCTCCTCTCCATCACTCCATCCTTGCCTAAATACTTCCAGGACTCTGCACTGCCATATCTCTCTGTGGCCACAACCAGACCTCTTTCTTCCTCCATTTATACAACCAGGAGGGGGGGGGGGTCACTAAACTAACAAACGGAATAATAATGCAGGCTGAAATGCAGAGGAAAGTATTTAATTAAAGTCAATTTTACCCAGAATACCATAAAACGAGCACAGCCGACGTGTCGTCCTCTCCTGTCGTGTTTCTCTTTGCAGCACTTCCTTGTTTACACCCGCCTCAGAGTTTAGAGGCTCCTCATTGGTGGATTGGGAGTTTGGGGCGGGGCTTCGATTAACCACCAATAAACCACCAATATACAATACTGCTACCTACAGCTACAGATAATAAAAGACACATTAGGTCTATTGAGTTAATCTCAGTTGCACTTTCAGTCAGGTGCCAAGTCAAACAGAGATTAAAAAACACGACATTTTAAAATAAAAGTGCACAAACAAGAACGGGAGAGGAAGAGATTTAAACAGATAAACAACAACACTAAAATAGAAATAATCCATGCAGGTTGTTAATATTTGCTTATTAGTACACAAAGTGCAGCAGAGGCTGATGGGGGTGTCATTATTTTATTATATTGTTTTAGTATTTGGTCTTAAACCAAAGTTTTGGACATTATAATGTTAACCTGATGGTAGTGCTAAATGAAATTAATTTCACAGCAATCCATCTCAAATCAACTCAACTTTATTTATATAGCATGCTATATAAATATATATATATAGCATATACTGTATACATATGCTTCACATAGCAGAAAACATTATGAACAAACATGAACTGTGTAAGGTAAAAAAAAAAAAAAAAGAATACTATAAAAACAATAAAATGTAAAACAACAAAATAACAAGATTAAAACCTAAAAACTAACATTACATTGGGGAGGTTTTAGAGCCTATTAGTCATTTAAATGATGGTCCAGCTGCTCCTGAACCTGGATGTTAAGGATGCTCCTCTACCTCCTGCTGATAGCTGACACGAGTCAAGGACCCTCTTTGAGCATCTTGTTGTTGGTTTAGATCCAAAATCTCTTCAGTCTTGCTTTGACGAGTCCTTTGTAACTCATAACCCCGAGAATCAGGAATGATATTAATTACTGGATGTATGAATCACAATCACTGTATGATGCAGACACTGTTTGTCACGATAGGATGAAAACAGTAGATCCCTCCCACGCTCTTTATCAGCATGAGGAGAGAGGAAGCTGTCTGCGGGTGGCGTCAGCTCGGGAAAAAAATGCAGTCACGTAGTCATTAATTGCCAAGTCAAGGGGGAGTCATTAATTTCTTATCTCTGGGTCATAGAGCAGAGGGATGGCAGGGAAACTAGATATACATATGAACAGCAAGAGCAGGCTGATTTGAGAAAGAGAAAGAAGAGGTTATGTTCCTGAGCGTGATGCAGTGATTGAGCAGTTGGATAGAAGCCAAAAAAAAAACCAACAACACAAGATCTGTTTACTCTTCCAATATTAATTTAGAAAGCAATAAAGAAGACTGGAATCTGCTGCTGCTTCTCCCTCGGGCGAGACAAGTGCTGACACACCTTTCCGAAGGTCTCTGGAATGTTGTATGGGAAAGACGTGAGGGAACTGCATGTGAAACTGTGACTAACGAAGAAGGGGAGAGGAAGTCTAACCTGCGAACACAAGGAACAGAATATGAGAACTTATGCTGAGTGAAGGAGGGGTTTGATAAGTGTATGTGTGCGAGGGAGGAAGAAGCAAAGTGCCTGCACAGTAAAAAGGGGCGTGGAGGTTTCACACTGAGTTTCACTCCTGGCTCTCAATCCTGTCATTCAACAACTTATATGGCACTGGGTTTTCACAGGGACAGGTCTGCCTCAGAGCCGTTGTCTTTTTGGACTCGTACGACAATGACAGCAGTGGTGTTTGGATGAACACGTGTGGAAATCTTCATATCTAAAGGAAGAAGCTTTGTGTGGCGGCAGTCACCTTTTAAACCAGAATTTGTTTAGGAATAAAAGAAGACAAGTGACCTGCCTACCATCTCATTAAAACACTGGACAGAAGAAATCCCTTGTTTCACTGAGTGTATTCAGACTGAGGAGTGGAATCAAAACAGCTTTTAAATTTGTTCAGGTGTGTACTTTAAGAGAAAGAATTTAACCTTTAAATGAGGTTTAACTCTGTTTAAAGTGTAACATCTCTCTCTGTTTTTTTCAGTTGTGTATAATCTATAACAAAAATAACAGACGCAGACCAGACTCATACGTTTCTCACTACAAATGATTCATAGGCTAGTGCAATATTACATGATGAAACTATTATTAAGTCATCCAACTGAGCTGATGATCAAGTGAAAAAACAGAATGCTGCCGCTCTTTGATCGTATCAGAGATTAGATAACTTGCATTTTATGTTTTCATCTCACCATGACAACCTGCCAGCCAAGCAAGAGGTTTTGACATTTTTATAGTGTGATCATACAAGTTTTTCAAGCTTTTTCTTTGTGTAGTTAACTGGGAACAGTAGACACTGTGTCCAATGTTACATCATACAATAGGTACTTTCTGTTTTCGTCTTGGAAATACCCAGTTCAGTCTCAGTAGAGACCATAGTGGATTTCTTTAAACATGTTTAGACTTGTAGGTGAGGTTTTTTAATTTTTGAAAACAGGTCTGGCTCAGTGCTGAAGGCAACACATCAGCAGGCCAAACTGCTAAAAAATCACCTTATAAACTATAAATACAACGTAAAATAAAGGTCACAAGGCAAATTTGGGAACACATGCTTCTTCTTTTACCATAAATCAAAGCAGCAGAATGCGTCACATGGGCAGCCAGCTAAAGGAAGTAACAGCATTTCTCACCAGGACAAGATAGAAGATCAGCCCCTGATATTCCCTTTGGGTCATTTTGGCACCTGAATTATACTCGCACTGAGTCTCATCATCATTATGCGTCCAAAAAACAGGTGGGCCAGGTTTAAGAGGCAGGTCAATATTTAGTTTTGTTAAATTTTGAATATACACTTTAACAAAACCAGACTCTGTGGGAGTTTTATTATTCTGTGTGGAGTAAAAAGTAAATAGGACTTACAGAAGAACGCATGCCACGTTAAACCAGTCTTAGAGTTATTCAGGTTTACTAAGGAGGAGACTCCCTGCAGGTTATTATTTAAAAGATCAAATGCAGTCAGTAATTAAATAACTCACAGAGGCCATCTGTCCCATTGTGTCTGAAACAACTGTACACTTCTCTTAGATCTTGAGCTTTAGAGTATACAGATTTTAATTAACTTAACATTTACTTAAGCACTGTTTGCCCTTACACAAAAAATGAAACCAGTTGACAAGTCCCTTTATCTTGAAAAACAAACATTTCTCTCAGGCGTGAACAAAGTTAAAACCATAAAGCAGCCACAGACAGATCATAAAATTGCTCTTATTCTTTTCTTTCTTTTGCATATTATTCATTACATTTTATAAGGAGCAAAAGTATAGACCTGCTCTATTTAAAAAAGTGTCCTGAGATAACTTTTGTTATGAATTAAAACTGAATGCAAACAAAACTTCAAGGGGTTTTTAGTATTTAGGACATTACTAAACCTTTCTTAAACATGCTCTTGTGGTTTGCAGAAATGTCTAATTCACCTCAGATGGCGGATGAAGTCCATCTGACTCTCATCGCAGGGTCAAGTGACGCACAGAATAACAGCACTTGCAATCAAGTGATCATCAGCCTCGAACAGCGTGCTGCCTCCTGCTGCGAGGACAATAACCACAGGAAACTCGCCATCAGCAGCATCATCTGTGGGATCTCCTGCATTGGAATCATGGCTCTGATAAACTCAGTCAAGGTACTTTACTGTCTGGCAAATGGCAAACGCCTAAAGCTACATATTCCAAGTTCCCCTGCCGGACGCTCTGAACTGCAGCAGAGATACTTAAATAGAGGAATAAGTTAATGGGATCAGTAAACTGCACATAACATGGTCACGTTTGGCACCACAGTCCTAAAAAAATACCTCAGTTCAAGCTAATATGAGGCTTCAGAAGTCTGAGTTCAAATCAAATGAAAATCTTTTAGACTTTCAGTCTTTTAAGAACAACATTCTCTCTTTGGGGGCCTGGTGGCTCATCTAGAGCCCCATGCACCCGAAGGTTTGGGTCATTACTGCAGCAGCCTGGGTTCAAATCCAGCTTGTGCTGCATGTCATCCCCTCTCTCTCTCTCTCTCTTTCTCTCCCCCTTTCCTGTCAATCTTCAGCTGCATAATCAAATCAATGTAATAGTGCTGCCTCTATATGACATACATAAACAAGACCATCAACCAGAAGACTGGCTAATTATATAGGGTTATTCTTGATGTCTGCCACTGAGTCGGATTCCCTTTGATATCAGTGAAACAGGGCAGTGGATGCACTACCACCTTTGTCCACAGGGGCCGCCAGAAGCAACAAAAAGTTCCTTGTTGCTGTTTTAAAAGTGTCGTTGTATTTTTGTACAGAATGAGGGCTGTGACTTTGTCTTCCAGCAGACCAAAACTCTTAGACACATGCAAGTGTTGTTTAAAGGCAAACTTGAAAAAATTTAAACCTTTCCTTGAAAAGTCCAATGTAAAGACTTTAGTGGCGTCTAGCGGTGTAGTTGCAGATCGAATCTCAGTTGCATCACCTTCCCCTTTCCAAGCACGAAGGAGAAATTATACAACATAACGAATATTATATATTCCATAACCAAGAATTGCTTATAAACATGATTTTGAATTGATTACATGTTTCAGAAGCCACCACAGGTCTGATTGGGGTCTCAGAAACCCCATCTTTCCATTGTGCTCTGTATCTGTGATTGGTGTTGACAGGTATTTTGGCAAATGGTCCACTTTGTGACAGAGTGAAGGTTATCACTTAATGTCTTTTCTACACACACATAGGTTTTAGTAAGATTAGAAGAATACAAATATATAAAGGGGGAATAGTTGATTTTGCAATTACTTAAGACTGTGGGACCCCCAAACAACACAGAAGTAAAACCATTATCAACAAAACAGAAGGGTTCAATTTTAAATCACAGAACTAAATGATGAACTATCTTACTGCTGAGTGTCAGACGTTAGACTTCTTAACTTAAAATATTGTCTTGTCCTTTCTTCAACAGGCTGAGGAGGCAAAAGATCCAAGGACAGCTGCAAAGTTTACACAACGGGCGAAGAAATATGGCATCATCTCCATCGTGACATGGGTTGCCATTCTGGTTTTAACTCCCGTACTAATGGTACTGATCTCATATCTCCTCACTCTGCAGGACTGATCAACTCTGATAAACTTCTACAGAAGATTTACCAGTGGAGCCGATGTTCTGATTTTGGATGTTAATGGAAACAGCCAGCGGACAGTTACTAAAGCAGCTTATCAGCTATAAAAACCTGTGAAGACATGAAGAAACTGGTAGTTACATGAACAACAAAAAGACTTTCCTGTGCTGATAAAATCACAGCAGTTTACACTTTTCTACTTCCTCTTATCCACTCAGTTGTTTTTTATACACAAGGAACCAAAAAAAATGGTATTAAAAATCTTAAAACTTTTACATGTTTTTTATACACTGTAATATTTATTTAACAATATATGAACAACTCAGAATCTAAATGACCATATAAAATCCAGCATTAACTATAGTTTGAGACACTACATGACACATAGACATTATTTATATTTATATATATATATATATAAAAATAAAGATAAGAAGTCATTCCCGAGTAACGACCCAATCCTTAATACTTATGCACCTCAAATGCCATAACAATTTAACATGTTGGTTCTTAGATATTGTATATACTTGCAGATATTACCAAATAATAAGTTACTCAATCTGTCTAATCTATAAAGTGTAAACATAAACGTGTTGATCAAGGATTGGGTCTTTACTCCAATACAACGGGATGGCAGTGATCATAGCAGTGCGTCTTCAGAACATTATGAGATCCTCTGGTTGCCAATATTATATTTGGCATTACTGCATTGGTTTTTTTTATGTATTAGCTTCATTATTGTCAAAATGTATCAATATGTTGTACTTTTATACAAACATAGCAACGGAATAAATAATAATACATTTTTATTATTTTATTATTTCATAATAAAACGACAGAAACTTTGTGTGCTCTGAGCTGCTTGAAGCATCTTGACATAAAAACAGCGACCATTACAAATACACCTACAAAACATCTACCTTCACATGACATTTTACACTTAAGGCAACCTCATAAAAAAATTGGCAACCCCCCCAAAAATATAATACAGTTTTATCAAGAAGTCCAGAAGAATAATCCAGAGAGAACCACAGGCATCAAAAAGCCAACTAGCAGTGGAATCTGGACACTTCCACTCTGAATTTGAAATGCTCTCTGGAGTGCCGTATTGTTTCTAAATTATATTTTTATACAAACCCCCCCCAAAAAAAAGCCATAACTTTACAAACACAAATAAATGAATAATCGAACAGGGTCTGCCCTGAGCTGAGCCACGTTTTGACTGTACATAAAATTTGTGGACAGAAACTTGGTTGTGAAATCGGTCGCAGCGAATACAAATCTCTTGCTGGCATGTTTACAAGTTATATTCAGCATTTAATGAACAGTAGCTGCCTTTATAAAATAACTTAGAATGACGCTGCAAGATCACTACCACTTATGTATGTATATAAAAAAAAAAAAAGAAGAAATTAAATGCTTTCTTTCAGACGAGACAGTACAAAATAAATCTGAAGTATTCTGCATTATCATTTTTGAACAGTTGCAAATAAACAGCACCCAGGGGAGTTGTGCAGATTTATAACACTCTGGGTAAGTCTGAGGTTTAAAAGAAACTGAGGATATACCAGAAAATGCTTTGATGCTGTACAAGAGCTTCAATCAAGGACGTCAACTTGTGTTTTTGAGACCGTTTCACAGATGGAAAGTAACTGGGGGGGAATAATGGACGGCAGAAGTTTGAGTGCAGTAATGGGCAGCAAAAAAGCGACTTACTGTATAATGCGTTTAACCACTATAACCAACGTCTATGAGGCAATACATTTATGGTGCTATGATCGGTTGTTCTTCAACTTGCAAGTGCTACAGAATGAAAATGTAATTCTTCAATAACAACTTGTCACCACAATTAATTTTTACACTGATTGTGCTGACAAAAAAAACAAAAAGAGCTGGAAGACTCATATGTGAATCTTCATGTTGAAAACACATTAGAAATAGTCATATAAACAGCATTATCTCGTGCAGTGTTATTATTATTATTTTTTTTAATGGCTGCCAAACAATCAACATGTAAGAGGCACCTGACAACTGTCTTTCTGATCGTGTATCAACCACAAGTTGAGCTGGTCCAGCTTGGCACACAGAATCGAGTCCAAGTCCTGCACGCTGAGGGACGGTTCGTCTTTAGGGAAGCCCCCTCGTCTTGTCCTGGAAGATGAAATACCCGCCTTTCCGACACCAACAAGTGGCTTCTTTGGTTTTCTGGCCTCGCCGACCTCGAGGAACTCCAAAAATCGTTTGACGCGCCTCTGGCCAAACCAGGACTCAGAACCATTCCGCCGATTGAGAGGCACCTCGAATATGGTCTCCAGCCGGCTGAAACACAAGGGAACAAAGTCCAATGAATGAAACAAACTTCATTCCCAGAGTAGAAAAGACTGATATCAGCTGATGCAGGTGATCTAAGTAACATGATCTTTCCTCTGGCGCCACCTTCTGGTCAAACTGAGCTTTTTTTGGCCTCACTAGCAGCAGCTATCTGAGGACGGTGTAACAAATCCATACTGTACACCAATTCTAAGCAGGTTTGGAGTATGTAGAGTGTTTACACTGGAAAAGTGACAAAATAAAGTTCACAACACAATTTAATAGCAGTATAAAAAGGAGCAGGTCACAGCTGGAAAAATTAAAATCAATTGTGGACGGCGGTGAAACAGCTACAGGAACACCTCCGAAAATAAGACAAATTGTTGGATGTTTAAATTGTTGTTTAAATCAATAGTGAATTTCTTAAGATGTTAATTTTATTATATTTATTAAATGTCTGACTCAGTATTTTAAAGAAACAAATGTCACAGATTTAACTCTGTAACTCCAGAAACACAGCATTAGAGCCACAGAGAAAGGTTTTACTCTCCCACAGTCTAAAGGGAAAAGGTGGCGAAGCTTCAGTTCAGGATGTCCAACAGTGTGTGTGTGTGTGTGTGTGTGTGTGTGTGTGTGTGTGTGTGTGTGTGTGTGTGTGTGTGTGTGTGTGTGTGTGTGTGTGTGTGCGTGTGTATGCATGTGTGTATGTGTGTGTCTCCTTACCTTTCAGGGGGTTTGCTGAAATTCTTATTGGTGTAAATTTCTTCCAAACTAAACTCCTTCTTTTTCAGCCTGCGGTGTAACATAAAGAAAGAATGAAAAAAAAAAAAAACACAGCTGCAATCAATCAATCTGAATATTGATTGGAAATAGTTCAATAAATGACAGGCATGTATTGACACAGACATAAATTCACTGACCCAATAGGATCTGTCCTACTTTCAAACGCTAGCAGCGTTCCACATGTTTGACATTGCTTCAAATGATTAAACATGACCTTGTATATGTATGTATATATAATTTATTTAAAGGTTATTTTACTTAAATGCTTTATGTATAAAGCCCTAATAGACCTTAGTAGTAAAAGTAACACTAGCTGGAAAACTGTTGCTTAAGATTTGTCTCACTATCCACCATCTAGGTAAATTATGTTAAATTACTTTAAATTATTACTTTTTCTTTAAGTACTTTGGCAACAAAGTAATTATGATAATCTATGTTTATCTTCCTTACATCACTTGCTATGGTTCCCTTTTTACAGAGTTACAAAGAAATAACTGCAACACGTAACCAACACCGTCATGTGAGGACACTTGAGCCAGCTCCATTTGCTGATAAAGGCCGTGAGATGCAGTTAAAAGCACGAAAAACAAAAGCTAGTGCGTGGACCTTTGAGTTGAGATTGTCACACATACCGTTCCCGAGGTCAAGAGTAAACATCCATGCTCATGTACATAGGGGTATTTACCTGACGGGTTTGGGCAGGCCCATGGGCGTCAGATTGTTCTGAGGTTTGGGTAATGTTTTCCGAATCCTTATAGACGACACTTTCCCTCGTTCCTCGTGCTTTTGCACCACCTGAGATGATGAAATATAAGATAAGTAACGTAACTGCAACATATAGTAGACAAAAGTACAGTTACAAAGTAATAACAATAACAATCCAGGGTTAACAACATATCAGTGCCAAGTTACCACAGTGTTATATCTTGACGATCTGAATAAAAATATATGACTATTTAAAGAGGATTAAATATAGCTGCATAGATGAAAGCGTAACAATCAAAACTCAGTGATGTACATCAATATTAGTTTCAAAAGCCCGTAAATATTTAGTTGGCTTTCCAATTTTTCAATATAGTTCCTTTGTTATATCTACGATCAATAACTATTTAATTACATCAGCTGCATAGATAAGCGCAACACAATCTGTATCATCAATAATTCCCCACCCGTATGGCTTTCATTTTTCACACAGTTCTGTTGATTAACTCATCTTTTCACACTTAGTAGCACAGAGAAGATGTATCATCAGTAATCACAGATAGAGGTCTTTCAGCCAGTTATGTCGTGTACGGTTGCAGCCATGTCGTATGGATTGCATTTATAGCTAACGAAGATCCTCACACAACATTAGATTATTTAGACTTATTTTTGTATAGCAGCTGAGCTTTTCGTCCAAAAATCAGACCAGAAATTCAGTATAAAACGAGGCACAGTAACAATGTGTTATTACGCCTGTCGTAACACTTATGTAAAATATTGTATACCTTGATTTCAGAATCAGACAAAGCCTTTTCTTCTCTCATTCCTACATCTTCAAACTCCTGACTTGATGAGCTTGTGTCCTCGCCGTCATCCTCCTCTTCACTCTGCTGTCTTCTCTCACACTCCAAGGGAATCCCACTAAACAGATAAAGTAAAGCCATCAGTTCAGTTACATCGGCACAGCGATGAAACATATGATCATCTTTGGCATTATCAGGACTTATTAAAGACTTTTAAAGATACCTGCTACTAGAGTCCAAGGTAGCGCTGGAGGAGTCAGCTCTTTGGAGGAATCCTGAAAGGCGCCATGTGGAGGGGCTCAATGGGTATGTAGAAGAAGAGGAGGTGGGAGAGGAAACATAACTGGAGGTGCCGGGGCTGGCAGCAGCTCCTCCTCTGCTGTCAACTTTCTTCGAGAGGAAAGCCAGGGGACTTGAAAGGAAGCAGGAAGCAAGAGCTGAGAGGGAAGTGCTGGGAGACATGTTCTGGGTAACGCCGTCATACGGGAGGGATCTTCTGGACGGGTACACCTCCTTACGGAGACAGAGAGGGGCAATCTCCCGCTCCACTTCGACACTGCAGACTGTGTGTCGACGAGCCCGCCGCAAGGATTTGTGGGTATGATGGACAAAAGGAGTGTGGGACGACTGATGCTGGTGTGGTGTGTGACTCCTGCTGGGATGAGGTGAGTGCAGGGGAGTCCAGGGCGTGTCAAGGGCACGGAGGGAGGGGATCTCTGGGCAAGAGTAGCTGCGTAACAGCCGCAACGACAAGCCCTTTCCTGATGAGCGCGTAGCTGCCGTAGCCAGGTCCGCATCGTCCATGGTGACGGAGTTTGTCATCTCTTCACCTTTACGTGTCATCCTATGCAAAACCCTGCATTTTCTCCTTTGGTTATCCGTTCTCCTTGGCTTAACCCTTCTTGCACTAGACCTCAGCCTGGAGACGCCGATGCTGCTGTGGTTACTGGCGTCAGCGTCAGGGGCAAATACCTCATCTGCCACGGGAACGGTAGCCTTTTCATCCACATCCTCGACTACATTATTTAATTGTACAGAACAGTCTGAATGAGGTTGGGAGGTTGAAGGACCGGGTTGGTGATTACTTTCAAAAGGTGTCATTTCAAAATATACAGGGTCCATTGAGAGTTTGCCTTCTTGAGATTGCTTTTCTTTGGTTATTAAATGAAGGTTATGGGCACACTGCTTTGTCTCTTGACTTCCACCTGACGCAGATGATTTAACAGCACCTCTACAACCCTTCTTGGGTCTCTTGGACGTTTGGTTCAGCTCCGTTTTCCCGCCCTCCTCTTTCTGATCATTCGGAGAGGTATGACAATCTGTGGGTGCGACTTCTAATGGCTCCACTGATAATGCTGATGAGGTAGAAACCACAGTGCTGTCTGATTCTGTAGCTGCACTCACTTGGTTTGACGATTTCCGTTTTAGTGGTTTCTTGTTTGTAGTCCTGCACTTTCTTGTGCTCTGGAGCTGGTTTATGTCAGAGTGGACGGGGACTTCTGATAACGGTTCCTGCTCGGCTTGTTTCGTAGAGGTGATTGCAATGGTGGTTTCCAGGTCCATACTGTTATCGATGATTACATCAGGTTTAGCGAGACCTGTTCTCGTCTTCAGTCTTTTGCATGAACCACTGGGCTTCACCTTGCTGCTGCTGCTGCTCTTTCGGTAGTTCTCTGACACAACACTGCTATTCTCCAGTGAGCAAACCAACATCGCATCAGAGGAACTTTCAGTCTGTGTGCTCATCACTGCTTCATTTATCATAGCAAGCATTTCTTGTCCACCTGCTCCTTTCTTATTTGCTCTTGTTGAAACAGCAGGTCTTTTTCTAGCTGGTCTCAGTGTTTCTTCCTCGTCTACAATGCTATTTGTCAACACAACTTCCTTTCTCAGTGGTCTAAGTTCTCTCAATACGCCACCATCTGAATCCACATTTAAGAACTCTCGTTTTTTTGTATCCTTTGTACATTTATCTGCCGTCAGTCTTTTCCTCTTCACAAAGTCTTGGAAATGACAATCCAGTTTGAGCTCCCTCTTTGCTCTCCCAGCTGAATAAGTTTCAGGGTTTAGCTGACGATCCAGCTGCTGAGAATCCAAAGTAGGATTCAGTGTCTGTCCATTAGTACTGTCATTTAATTTAGTCTGGAGGCTTTGGCAAACCAAGTCGCAACTTTCTCTTTTTCTGCCGTCGTCATCACCATCCCACTGTGGACAGTCGGTGTCAGGCTGCGCAGAACAGACTGAGGAAGATGGCGGTGTTTTGTCAGTATCACCTGAGTCAGCTTTGTGTGATTGGACTGAATTCATGCGAGAAACCTGCTCATCAATGACCACTGGGTCAGAGTCTTCCTTTCTGACCTCAGATGTTAAAGTCACAGAGGTAACTTTCTTTCTATTCCCTGTACACCTCCTAGGTAGTGGTTTCAGCCGGGCAGCCAGTTTGCCTTTCTGCTTCTCGACAGCCCTGGATATCTTTAACGTGGATTCATGTGAGGCACTTGCATTGACAGAGGGCTGTAACAGTATAGAGGACCTAAAAATGGATTCCCCAGATTCTGAAACCTTCTCGGAAACAATGCAGGGTAAGGGGCTGTATTGAAAAGGCACCGAATCAGGTATGTTTGTTTCTTTCTGAGTTATTGCACATTCATCTGCCTGCTCGGAGCCGTGTGGTGACAACTCCCCGTCAAACGATAATTTTTTAGAATACTTAATAGAAACAGTTTTTGAATTTTGTACATCCTCTAATTCACTGAGGCTCTGTTGATTAGCTTCAGCGTTCCGATTCCCATTCTCAATTTGTTCCTCTGAATTAAACCTATCGTTTGGTTCTGAGCTCTCAACATCAGACGTTCCATCGGCCTGCAGCTCACACTCATTGAGTTTGTACGGTTGCTCCATGGAAGGTGGAGGACTATTAGCTCTGAAGAGTTTAACAGGACTCATGACAATCTCTGTGAAGCTGGCCATCTTCGACTTGAGCGACTGAAACAAGGGGCCGATCACCCATCCCTTCGGGGCAGATGCACTCTCAACAGTGTGCCCAACAGCCAATCCCCCGCATGTATCCATGTCAGATTTCATGGTGTCGAGATTCTCTGCGGTTTTGTCAGAAAACTGTTCAGCTACATTTTCAGCAGCATAGACGCTCGGTCTTTTCGGTGGGCTTTTCTGGTCCGTTTGCCTAAAGTAAAAAATGGAAATTAGACTTTAAATCACAAATCACAAGGCAGAAACACTGTCATCATAAAAACACCTACAAAATTATTTTCTCCTGAAAGCAGCAATGTATTATGGAACAATATGTCAATACAAGATATTGTTTCTGGCATCCTACCACTCACTAGTTCTCTGTTCATGAAAAACATTAACATCTATGTGGCTTTCCCACTGGCTTGGTAATGTAGGTTATACGGAAAACTACTTCAACTACAGCTGCTTCAAAGACATGACATTATTCACCATTACCTAAAAATTTAAAACTAATTTTTTAAAACCTTCTATGGTACAATTACAATTTAGACACCTAAAACAAAATTGTCCATTTTTAAAGATAAATAAATATGGCTAACACTTAATATACAATATAAACTAAATGATTATTATGCATGCACACTTACCTATTTTGGCGCTCTGCCGCAAAACTAAACTCAAATCCATCCTGCAAAAAAAAATACATATATTAAATAAATGTTACAGTCGTTATAAGAAGACTAAGCAGTGTTTGGCTGAGACTTGATACCATTTGAGCTTCTGATTCAACCAACTAAACAACTCATAAAAAAACACTTTTGGTCAAAATTAAATAAAGCACAACAAACTCAACTGAAATTTAATTTGATTTTGTTTTATTGCACTGATTTAAGATTTTAAATAAGACTGATCTTCTAAAATTTGTTCACAGACTGAGGGAGTTGTAAATGAGTGGCACTCACTTTGCAACTAATAACAGCCAATTTACTTGTTTACCAATTCAATGTGTGTTTTTTCTGGAACACTGGTTGTTGTTTAGCTCTACAATTTTGAAGGACAATGGAAAGAGAATACAATGAAGATGCATTGCATTCTGTAATATCTGTGGTCTATGCATTACTGGGTCACATTAAGACACTCGATTGCTCGTCTGTGTCAGATGCAGCAGACCGTGAAGGAGGATTAAAATCACTCAATTAACCCTCACACCCCGTTCACTGTACAGGTCTTCAGTATTGGCATACACAGCCCTACAGAGCAGCTGCTGCACAGATTAGACACCGAAAGCTTTAGGACAGGAACAAATACCATCAAGAGCAAAAGAGACCGACAGAGACAGGGAGAGGGTCGAGTGAAAGAACATCTAGAGCAAGGAGAAATAAAACTGACCTCATTTTGTGTCTCGTGTGTGCTTTCAACTCTTGGCTGCTTCGACTCTGACACTTGTACCTACAAATCAGAGAGATTAATGAGCGCTGCACGAGTAGTGACTCATTTAACTACTGAGGAGCATCTGAACAAGAGTTTTGTTTTTTTTTAAAACAAGTTTCACTCTTACCATGCTCCCACTCGCCCTTTTAGTCTTTGAAGGGGACGGATTCTGTCTGGATGGTTTCTGAACCGCTCCGATGTCTGTATTGCTTTGCTTTTTAGGCGTTTGTCCTCGGATGCCTTGAATGCGACCACTCCTTCTGTGTGCAGATATTCCATCATTCACACAGCTGTGAATGTTTTAAAAACAAAATAAAACATTTTTAATTTAAAATCAGTACATTTAGCCAGTTTGCAAATAAAGTGAGAAAAAAAACAAAAACAAAAAAAAACAAACTGGATGGCAAGTCTCAGAGTTGCACGATGACTCACCATCTGTATTCTGTCTACACAGTCTGATCGGATACTTAAAACATGAATTAAATGTTGATTAAATATGTATCCGACACATTTAAATACCAGGGGTGGCTTTTCGAAATTTGGCACACATTATCTTTCACAAGCTACTTGATCCAAATGGTGAAAGTCATGATTCAAAACGATATAAGTTTAAATTGTTGGTATGACACAGAAACCATTAGCCATCATGTTACAAAAGGAATTAATACTAACTTAGTGATAGCAGAATAAATGTCACAGGCTTTCTGCATTTTAGGTGGGATAGTGTGTGCTGCCCATCTCTGTTGGTGACCGAAGACACTTGGAAAGTGGAAGGTTTTGTAATGTAGGACAGGTGCTGAGACCACAGAGTGTACCAGATAGATTCCAAGTAATGTACCCAGTCCATAAAGGGGAAAAAGTATCAAAAAGCAAGGAGGGGAAAAACACAGCTACAGCAAAAGAAAGCAAAAATAAAAAAAAGGTGCCGGGACAACTATACCTGGGAGTGATGGAGTAAAGGGGAAGGAGAGGTGGTGGAGGTTCACTGTGGGGAGGTACACTATAGAAACGGTTTGGGGGAATAGCATCTTCATCCATTGGACAAACTATCTGAGGGAGTGGGTCAGAGGGATAAGTCAACATCCCCTTGCTCTCTCTTTCTCTCCTTGTCTGTCCTTCTCTGTAAATAACAAGAACGGGAAGAAGAAAAACAACAACCCCAAACATGCGGGGTGTCATATCAGCATGAAACAAATTCAAAATAGGTCTTAAAATGAGGCTTCACTTACTTTTCTGATCCCTGGGATGAGGGTTTATTCTGAAATTAGGAAAAGCAAAAAAGGGTTTTTGTTTATATTTTATTTTTCAAAATTGAACAACTATTGATTACCTTCATCATGGTTTGAAATCCTAATAATTGACGAATTGCTTGGTATATAAAAATGTCAATAAAATGCAACTAGTGAAACATGACCATCACAAAGTCCAAGGTGACTTTAAATCCCGTTCCCTCCCATTAAACCCAACAATATTACATTTACGACCACATTAAACTAGGCCTGGGCAATAAATAATAGCAATATATACATCGGCAATAGACACTTAATCAATAGCAATAAGAAAATTGTTCAATAGAGTATTGATAGTTTCATTAAATGCAGACATCCATGAAGACACATAACAAATACACTCATAAACAGCCCATCATATCCCTTAATAATTAATCCTGCTGTGAGTTTATCACCATTAGACTCTTCCACCCTTTCGTCATTCACGACCTACATATGTTACGTCTCAACCGAGAGGTACTGAACAATACTATAGGACAAAATATTAGGGTTAAAATTATTACCTGTGTGTCTTTTTAAATAAAGTTGTTCAATCCGAGCCTTTTTTCACCTGGGATTTATTAATAATAGTCATTAAAATGATCAATATAGACTTTAATTTCACATTATATCGTGATCCATGTTGCCCAGCTGTACATTAAACAAAGAAAAGCATCAAAATCCTCAGTTGAAAAGCTATCATTTGGTATTTTTTGGTATTTTTAGCTTGAATAGTTACTTTACTGATTAATCAGTTAATTGTTTCTACTCATGCAATGGGAAAAAATAAAGATAAGACCAAGTAAAAATGTAAATAAACATTAAGCTACTGGATGATGATGATGATGGTCCAACATGAAGATAAAATTTGTGAGCACATTAATGGGGAATTTGACATATATTAGATATAACACACAGGAATGTCTTTCCTAGAGATCAATAAAAAGGTTTCTCAACCAATATGTGGGTTTTTGGGGGTTTTTTTGTCTCTCAGAGAAACGAAACCAATTAAAATCAAAGTGTGGTGAAGGTTATTGTTAAAGGTTAAATTGAGAAAAGGGAATTGTATAGTTAACATCACAACAATAACTCGGTTGGAGGAATAAAAAAATCACAACATCAGTGTTTCTGTCTCTGCCAATCGTCGTCGATTGCTCATCAATTAACGTCAGTTCACTTGCATTGCAGTCCGTTAACAAAAGGTTGCCTACAGCCAATAAACCCTTGCTAACTAAGCTGATGGGTCACACCTATAATATAAAGTAGAAACACACCCAATTTAAAAGCAAACGCGTTTCAGTGAATGTTTTTAATCAAATGGAAAAGCAAAAAAAAAAAAAAAAAAAAAAAACCGAGCGGGGTCTAATTGCTGGAATGGACCCAGTCTCATACACAAACTTTTACACATGAGCTCACGTTACGTTCACATTGGCCAACGTTATCCTACCGTGGACAGCAGCTGTGGTGAAAAAAATAAAGCTGACTTTTAGCTATATCTCACCCGCTTTAGTGTTAACACTGCGTGGTTTCTGGCTGGCGCCGATATTCACACAGTGTGTAACATAGTTTCTGTACCAGGCAATAGCCGTAGCCGGGAGCTGTCATATCCCCACCAACGTTCAACGGCTTTCTACGGGAGAACCGGGCGTACCGTCATTTCGCAGTCAGTTACAAACGGTTGTTATGGTTATATAACGTTAAATAAACTCACCAGAAACGATTAGCTGGACAACGGGGCGGTATTCCGACCTCACCGTAAACAAGACATGCCGGACGGCGCCCTACGGGGACTCGTAGATGTATCCGTTCATACGACTCCCACAACCAGACAGTCGGATGGACCAATCACAGCGCGAGTTCATTTTCCGCGAGTTGAAATCTGACCAATCAGGGGGGAGAGTTTGTGGTGTCGTAGGTTCGGTGGGGGCAGCCAATAGGAGAGCGAAGAGAAATGTCCCCGAGTGACCTCGTATGTTAGGAGGCCTACGTCATTATTATTAATCGATTACAGCAGGGGAAATGTAACGATTTGTCTCATCGATACACTAACTATTTATATTTGTATTTTATTTGTTTACATGAAATTTATTTACATTTCTGATATTAACGTTAAAAAATATTTTAGTTACACATTAAACTATTTTAATATTATCTAATTTGATACAGATCGCTACTTTTGAGTTAATTAAACTAGGATTACAATTAACTGTTATTTTCTTTATGGATTAATCTGCTGATTATATTCCTGATAAATTGTTTGTTTCAATAAAACATTTTTAAAAATCTGTAAAATATTCTATTTACTAAGATGTAAGACCAAGAGAGGAAGAAAATTATCACATTTGACAACCATCAAGTGTTTGTGGTTAAACAAATGGTTTAAATAAATAACTGCCAATTAGCTAGATTAAAATTAATTCTTGTCACTTAAACTTATACTAAACTCTTCCAGACTTGTATTACAGATGTTTTGATTTGCAAGAATATCAATAATTTGAATTGGCTCCATATTTTACAACCACGTACTTCTTAAAAGTCCTGGGAGATAACATTATATGTATTATTAACTATATGCCAAGTAGATTTAATGTAATAACTACCAAGGATATCTAACTGTGAATAACCAAAGCTGTGTAAAGTCAAACTTTTATCCTAAAACATGAATTTCTTCATGGCAAAAGTGCTATTCAATATCGGGATTTGAAGGTAAGCTGCCTGAATTAACGACCTAATACAGTTGTATCTTTAACTATAACAGACAAGTGTAAAATACAGTAACAACTATTATTATTACTGCGAGAAGTCACAGTAACTTATCAAACATTGCTGTGTAAATGAATGTAAAGTGGAATGGACACGTAAACGTCATTAAATGGTCAGAATTAAAATCAGTCCTCCACAATGTGACAATGTGAAAAAAAAATAAAAAAATGGCTGATGGCAACACCGTATACATGAATTATTTATTTAAAAATAATGTACAGAAAACGAAGCCCCTGTTAAAATGATCATTTTGACACCGAGGCCCCCGGATGGGAAGATTTAACGTTGGAGGACAAGACGTGAAAGATGACAGTGATCATGACAGCTGTGATTTATTTGATGCCGGACATAAAATCATGTATAGAGTTCAAAGTCAAGTCTCTTGGAGTTGTAGAACTGAGATCCCTCCTGGTCCTTCCTCCTGCAGTAAACACCGCTGCTGAAATAGCCTTCATCCACCCAACCCTGGAAAACAGACAATAAGAAGATTAAAAGGCCCACCTGGTCAGATGGAGGTTAAAAGGTAGAACCAGCCTGCGACCCAATAATCTAGTAAACATAATGGGATTTACTAGTAAGTTTTCAGGCAGGTTAAGTCAGTTTGCAGGAGGAAAACATTATAAATGGGTAAATGACTTAAGTTGCCAAACAACGTATCAGTATAGGTGCAATTAGGAGCTTTGTGAATGTATTTAAAGGGTTAAAAGGAACACCTAATATCAGTTTAAGTACGGTGACTTTGGTGTTTTAACAAATTAGCTCAGATAAAAAACTAACCATGTAAAACCATAAATACTAAATAAAGCATACATTTAAACTGATATAGATGTTTTGTTAAGGTGTTGCCAACCCCATCAACAGCAGTACATCGCTTATCTTCCGTGCTGGTGCTCCTGTATGCTTCTCCAGACTAAACTAAAAGCTCCTCTTACAACCCCACATCAAAAAAATCAAAAACTGAGATGATAAGCCACACAAGCAGTGGTCTTGGGACAAAAAACCCATATTTGATTATATTAGTCCTGTAATATTAAAATAATAATAAGATTTTTTCATTATATCTTGGATTTTTCTATTTTATTTTGTTTCTTCTGGAGCTGCTGTAACATGTGAATCCCCCCCCCAGTGTGGGATCAACAAAGTCTAATTGTATCTTATCTTATATTAGCGTTGTCATGCCATCACACAAACGTCTACCACCGGCACCCTGACGCTGCACAAAACTACAGCCAAAGTGTGTTCTGATCATTTATAACACAAAACCAGACTTGGAGCTCATTCCATATTGATTAAATGAAATGAAAACCATCCATTACCAGACACAATCTTCTCGGAGAAGCCCGCTGCATTACCTATAAACTCAAACTGCTTTTTAATCTTAAATTTGGTGTAAGAGAATACCTGCATCTGCTGACTGGTGAAGGGGCCGTAAACCTCCGAGTTATCCTCATTGTCCCATTTGTACTCCCACATCACTTCATCGCTCACTGAGAAAAAGACAAAACTGAATGAAACAAGATATATTTGTGATACTGAACAGGTAATGTATACGTAAGTAACACCAAGTAACCTTTTCTGTCATCTTCCTCTCCTTTATCCCCTTTTGTCTCGTCAAATTTATCCGCAAACATGTCAAGTTCATCGCCTTCTTCATCGTCCTCATCATCATCACCGCTACGTTTCACAGCTGGTCGCTTGCTGCTCATGCTCTTCATCAAATAGGCCAATTTTTCATATGTTTGCTGATAGATCTCAAACATCCCAGACCCGACCAATCTGTCAGCTAGTGCTGTCAGCCTGTCGAGCTTTTCTGCATCCCTTTTGGTCTCCTCTGTGGGTTCGCTCTCTTCCCTCAGCTTCCCCTTCTTCCGTCTTCCAAGGCCTCCTAGCCGTCGGAGTCCCGCGGCAACTGTCTCCCCAGGTAGCAACAGTTCGACTACAGCTTCTGTGAGCTGGTGCTGTGTGTAGGATGCCAGCGGATCCTCTGCAGGCTCTGCCTCCTCCTCTTCTTCGTCATCGTCTTCTTTATTTTCTGGGTCTGCCCGCTGCTCTTCTCTCCGTTTCTCTTCCTCGGCTTCATCCTCGTCACCAACTCTACGTGTCCGTTTGGCTCCGAGACCTTTCTTCTTTTTCTTGAAGGGTTGTTCTTTTATTCTCACCTGGAAGAAGTAATGTATGTTATTGTTTTCACGGCATGAGAAATTAATGAAACATGAAGTAAAACTCCCTAAAAACACAATTACCCAATCAATGTTGTCAAGCCAGTTGTCTCTAATCTGTTCTTCCTTTTTGACAAAATAGTTTCCCTCAGAGTCAAAGTGTCCTTCCTCCATCTCCTCGTCCAGGTTGAAGGGTGTGATAGGAACTCCCTCATCACAGTCGATCGTTGCTCCCTCTTGGCCTGAAAACATAGTTATCATGATCTTGGGTGACATAATTACTGATGCTCCGTGTCTTAAGGGCACTTTTATATTGCACAGTGTCAAAGAATTCAGCCCAAATCATAAAAACACACCCTCCACATCGTCACTGGCCAGAATATCATATTTGCTCGTGCTCGTCTCTTCCCCTTCATCCTCTTCGTCGCTATCAAGGGAATGTTTGCCCTTAAACCTGGAGCCCGGTCCAGTCACAGCCTCGCACGTCTACTTCGACAGAAGAAACAGAACAGTATTATGCATAACATTATTTAACATTAAAAGGAAAACACAGGCATCAAACTTTTGAATTTCTCCTACAGGGGATCAATAAAGGAACATCTTATCTTTATGGTTAGGACAAGAAAGAAAGGATCCTGAACTTGTCAAAGGCATGCAAAGATACACACATGATCTGTGTGTCGACAGAGGACTAACTCATCCTTATAGATACTTTCTCTTTAAGTAAGTCAATATATAAAAAGGTGTCCCTGCACCAAAGGAGACCCAGTGGAGCCTTGGCTGTTGGTTTGTGTTTGTTTTCATGATGTTTTTTTTTGGGAGGGGGGGCTTTATGAAGTCCCTTTTAAAATAAAATCCTGTAATTCTTAAATGATATAGTTATCAGTAAGCAATGATGTGAACAGGAGAGTTGCACCTTTTTGTTTGGGGGGTCGTCTTCCAGGTCAAACTCTCCGTCCCCGTCCTCAAATGTTACTTTCCTCTTCGGCATGGTGCTACAAAAACAAAAAGACAAAGACCAACTTTAATTCCTCCCCAAAACGAAGCTGCAAACCCCGGCGAGCTGTAGGATTAGTGAGTAATCGATCAGCTTTATTAATTAACTCTTCTTGTAACGTTGTGAATACGCGCGGTTGCCACACACAACCTCGTTAGCTTTGTGGCTAAAAACGATAGCAAACAGCGGACACACGGCGCATGCGGAACGTGTGAGACATTGAAGGTGACGTGTTGTTTGGCTGCTGTAAAATATGAGATTGTTAAATTGGTGTGAAAACATACGAACAAGGCGAATAAACAGAGATTGAGCTGGAAAATGTGGGAAAACCTGGTAATTCAAACGACGTTGGTTTTCGTTCTTCTTCGTCCTGTTTGATGTCCGTAGTGCAGCGACGATAATGTGCGTTAGCGCCACCTGCTGGGGAAAGAGGACACCTCGGATTATATTGGTGCTTGTTTTGTTTAATAAATACTAAATTTTCTTTAATGTGACAAACAATAAAAGCTATGGAGAAAACGTGGAGCTATAAATGTAGATCATTCTCATGTTTTTTTTTTTGACTTCGCCCTAAAATTTTAAAATCTTGGTTATCGTCAGAATTATGGGTTCAGAATCAGAATCAGGTTTATTGCCAAGTAAGTTTTTACACATACAGGGAATTTGTCTTTGTTTTTGACTTTTAAAAATATAAAGATGCATGTTTGGAAAGATGCAAAATGTACAGGAAAGATATTTACAATGTGCAGGATAGTAAAACCAAGGGGAGTGCATTAATGTAATGCATATATACAGCGTGGGTTGTGATGTATCTAAGTCATGTATATTACTATATTTTTGGCAATATGACCGGGAATGTTGTGTTAAAAAGAGGACATATATTTGTTCAAATTTTGGTAGCAGCTTGTAAAAAATCAAGAGTACAATGGTATGAGCCAGATCCACTAAACATAAGATGATTGGCCTAAAATTGTGAGTGAAATACATTTTATGGAACAAACTGTAGAGACATTGGTTATGGAGTATAATACAGTGTAAAGATGTTTCATATTGTGAATTTGATGCTTCACCCAGGTCCATGACTGAAATGTTGGACTTTTAAAATAATATAAACAAATAAATAAACTTAAAGATCCCCTCCAGACATAAGACTGATATATAAATAATCTG